CAGAGTCATTGGGATTTGAAACCACCATTTGATCAACATATATTTTAATATGTGCATGTTCTTTTAAACCACAGTGAGAAATAGTGACGCTAAATCACAAAGGCCTCCGAATAATAAAGTCGTGGCCAGGACAACTAGGGGTTGACAGCATGAACAATGATCCATGTCATCAAGTCGACCAACCAGGTTACAGATTGAACGCACCGACTCCATATTTAAGAACGTTTACAACAAGCATGGCGTATTGGGAAACTATTTACCCTGGAATATTCAATAGGTCCCGAATAGCATCAGGGTTTATGCCGCTCTTAGGAATATTCCAGCTATATCATGGCTGGGGTCACTAAAAATATTGAAGATTGAGTTGAGTTGAGTTGAGTTTAACACTGCATTGATGACAATTGCATGTGCGCGTGTGCATGCGTGGATGCTTGTACTAATCGGTGCTAATGCCAGTGTTTTTAATATCGCTTTTTGGTATGACACAGCCAGGAAGATCTCTGGGAAGATGCTCTATCCACTGGACCATGAAGGTAGTCTCCAGAAATAAAACATTGAAGATAGAAAGACAGAACTAACTTGCAAGACACATTGTGAAGTGTGTTGTCTAGTGTTGAAATAGAGCGCATTCAAGTAACTTAAGATAATAATCAATACTTAGAGTTAAAGATGTCACGATTCACCAAAAGATGTAATATTCTCACACGATACGATTATGCAATACACATTTATCTGTATAAATTCATATTTTAATCATGTATTGATTTCCATTTTAATCCCAAATATTGTTTCAGACATGGACCCATTCATTTATATATAGTCTATTTAATTTCAGGCGGACATCGAAGGTATTTCACAAACTGGGAATTTGCCATCGTATTTGATAATAGAAAATACAGTTACTTATGTTGACACAAATAGTCAAATGAAACATTTTCATTTTTCAAATATGAGACCAGATATTCATGAAGTTTAAAGCCTTTTTAATAGTATGCCCTATCAAATATAATAATTCATGCAAAATTAATGCGAATTAAGTATCACGATATCTTACCGTGAACAAAGTATGACGGCGTATATTACATCGGCAAATAATCGGACTGTGACAGCCCTAAAAAATAATCCATAGCAGTGTCAAAAATTGTACATGAAAGTCAAAGATAAAAGCTAAAGATTCAGGGGATCCCTGGATTTAATTACTTAGGAGAAGATGTCATGGACCCCTACCGTCTTAATCTCAACCACTGCATAGGGCTGGTAGAAGTTTCAAGGCTTATCAAGTTTTATTACCGTATTCGACGTAATAAACGCCCCGCTCTAATAAGCGCCCACGGCGATATTTGCTAATATAATGGCTAGTGAACAATCCCAATCAGCACCCCTTACGATTCATCAATGTACACAAGACTTATTTATTCGTGCATAATACGCACTCGTGTGTTATGTCACCCTTAATTATGGGCAATTAAATTCTTGAAAAATATATGTCGTATGTAAACATTTCAAGCTGTTAGCATAAACAACAAAATTTACGATCTTTCAACTCAAAATAATATTCTAATAAGCGCCCCCTATTTCTAATTGTGAGAGCGCCCCGGGCGCTTATTATGTCGAATACGGTATACTTACTCATGTTTCATTAAAAATAAATAAATTAAATACATATAGTACTTAACTTTTCATAGGGATAATCAGATATGTGATTCTATTAAAATTTACACTTGACATAATGCGAGAACCAGTGGGAAAGATGAAAAAATGTCACATCAAAAGAGACAACAGACAGCATAATAGACATACACAGACCTTAATTCAGGTAATCTAAAAAGCCTGACTGTATTCTGAATTAGCATGGGTATTAAACCATGACCGACAACAATGGAGGCACATACTGCCATGCCAGGCACTGCTCCAATCACACCTCCCAGTTATATTCACGTGTAGTTGTGTGCTTCCAAGGTCTATTGACATGTGATACAGACCGTGATTACCAGGCCCGGGTGACCGGGAACACAACAGCCTTTGTGTTACAAAGGCCTTGACTGGGAAACATGATATCACTGTCTCGTCAACACTACATAGATTTGGCCACAGCTGGGATTGATCACCACAAAATTTTATAATAACTTTCCAAAAATATAAACCTATTGTCCTAAACTTTATCAAGTGATCCGGTTCCTGACTGTTTTAAGGCTAACAGGTATGTGAGAAACGGCGCACCAGATGAAATCAATGACTCCAACAAAAAAATGTAGAGAATTGTGAAATTATTTAGCACAACAATACTTAAATTACAATAGCTGTAGATTGTTCGGATTTCATGTCTGGCCTGAGGGTGTGTATTGGAGAATAATGACAAACATGTTAGAACAAATATCACTGTGATTGCGTGACATAACACATACCAAACAGACCAAACAGACCAAACAGACCAAATGAGGAGAAAACCATTAAACCGGAATGAGAATGGATATTTTCCTTTTCAGCTTTTTTCAATGGAGTGTGGTCCATAATTTGGGGGTGTTTGTTGGGGGTTCATTAGAATTTAACAAATTTGTGGTCACTAAATTTTGCGGAAGATCCCATCCCTGATTTAATATCTTGTGAAAGGGATAGGAGTTTTGAGACAAAATATTTTTCAACAAAAAATATATATCTTTGAAAAATTGATCTGAATGACATTTTTTTTACAACACAAATTTCCATAACATCAAGCGCTTCTTCTTCTTCATCATAATTGATTATTTACATCAAATAGTTTGTATATTGCTGAATGCGAAATTAAACAACAAACAATCAACAATTGTACATATCCACCTGCTCTGTTACAATGTATTCTCCTGAAGAGCATAAGTTTTGGCATTTTTAAATTGTTTTTGTGAAAAATCCTGGTCGGCACTGGTTAAGAAACCATAAGAAAAATAGAATTCCTTTTCTTTTTTATAACTAAAACATATGATCTGAATAAGTTGCCATTTGTGCATTTTGGTTAAGCTTGTCTCATCATTTATTTTTGTGTGCAAGTTACCCACTGACCAAGCCGGATAAGAAAATTATAAGACCTGTTCTGATTTATTTTATTTTAAGGATCAGCGGAATGATATAATCTACCCTAAAAAGTCCGGCCATATGTTAACATTCTTTTCGCAAGTTTTCAGAAAAACAAACAATTATCACTTTCTATACATATTTGCAATAATAACCCCTATTCATCTTTCAAAAAGTCTTGAAGACAGACTACAGTTGTAAATTTTCTGACAGTACTATAAAAGGTCATGTTAAAATTACTGCTAAACATACACACAGCCTTGGCAGAACTGTGAAATCAGTGGTTGATCTATGTCCACAAATTACAGGTGAGGTGAGGTGCCATGAGATTTAACAATGCATTCAAGATAATTACACTCGAATAGGTGTGTGCGTGTGTCAACTAGCCCTGCTCTAGTCGGCTTTAGATGGCTTGCCCAGATATACCATGCCACAGTTTAACATGGATACCCCACTCAGTAAACTGACTCCGAGCTGACCAGTCTTTGTTTTATCCCCTTAATGCCGAGCAACAGGCGGTATAACAAGTATACCACATTTTAACATCTTATTGATGAGTGAGTTGGGATTAGCGCCGCTTTTAACAGTATTCCAGTTATATCACGGTGTGTCAGCTTAATGTGGGAGGAAAGCCCGAAATGATGCAGGTCAGACGTTTACCACTTCGGTGAAACCCACGAGCACGGGTATGGTGCTGATAAACTTAGAAACATAATTGGGGGGAATCAAACCCACAATCAATAGGTTTCTGGTGTGCCAAAGGGACACAACTCTGCACAGTGAATTGCGGTACTTTAGACGACTGGGCCACCTGGGCCACCTGTGCCCCCCCCCTCGTATGAAGTTGCCAGGGGATTAAACCACAGACCTTGTGCTCTCTGGCAGATGCTCTATCCACTAGACAACGAGATACTAATGTAACAACTTAGTGTATCTTTGATGATTACTAAGACTTTTATTCTCTATAAATGCTAATGAATGTATTCTATTCCAATTCCTCTTAATTCTATTTTGTAGAACCATGATAGAGGTGAAAATATATTCTGAAAACATGACGAAGAAAAATTATGATATGAATGTGTTTTATCACAAGATATGAGTGAGTTCTCCACATCTTGAGACAATACACTGGACGTAAATACACAACTTGTTAACCCTTTGATCAATATGACCAACCGTAAGCATTCAGGAAAATTGATTCATGAAAAACTGTCAGTGGTGCAGGCATCTGCTGAGTGAGTGAGTGAGTGAGTGAGTGAGTGAGTGAGTGAGTGAGTGAGTGAGTTGTTTTTCAGTCAGCTCGAGGAGGAAGCCTTACTCATTTTACTTGCGTTGGTTACTGATAAATATCGATTGTGTCATGAAGTGTCTTGCAGTTTAACGTTACCCTAGAAGTTTTATTTTGACTCCTACATATTTCTAAGTTCAAAACATAAAGAAAGCAATATTTTCTCAGAAAATACACTTATTGAAATCAAAATGGCACAATTGTGCTCTGTGTTTGAATTAATTCCAATATGAAAAACAAATAAGGTATCCTGATACCAAAACAATGTGAGTTTGTTTTGATCGTAACCTTGTGTAAACAATTTGCTTGAACTGTACCCGTGGCCTTGATGACGTTTATGGCCTATTAGATTTCATGAATGGCCCATATTTTGGGGGTTAAGTGGGCCAAGAGGCAAACCTTTTTTCAAGCCAAGGATGAGCTTTGCACGTCAGAGACCTAGATAATTCACACTCCATTTACATCTCACATTGTCAAAAACACAAGGTTTTGCATTACAAGCAAATGCTGAGGAAGACCCATGTCCAGTCTTTGAAATAATGTTCCACTGAGACCACCCCCTGTCAATAACCAGGCATATGAAGACCCTATGTTGGGAATCAAACTTGGGTGCATATGCATGATAGGCAATCACCTGAACCACTTGACCAGCCACTGTACTTACCGGATTCATGATGGTACAGTCAGCTGTTGAAGTGTTGAAGGGGTCGAACTTGTCAGCACACACGATGACGTCTGGGAGCGGGTATAGACGCATCCCTCTATCATACGCCCAGTACACAGGGCAGACGTGGAGCGGGAGGGGGCACAGGTGGGCCTGGCTGATGATGGACTTTGCAAACTGGAGGAAAACAATAGCAAGATAAGACACGAGGAAGAATTCTTGAAATTCTGCTGAAAAATAAGAAAATTAGAGCTACAAGACTTTGAAGCTCACATGACTTTTTTCAGAAACATATGATCTGAAAGTCCATTTGAGGATAAAGACAAATAAGTAAAAAGAAATATCAGAAAATTCTGCTTGATATTCTGGCAGCATGTTAATTAAATAAGACATTGAAAACAGTAGAACTGGCTATGCAGAGGGCAAAAATAACATGTGTATCGTTATTGTTATCAAATCTTCCACAGCGAGTGAGTATGGTTTTACACCACTTTTAGCAATATCACAGCAGGGGACACCAGAAATGTGTTTCACACATTGCACCCATGTGGGGAATCGAACCCGGGCCTTCGGTGTGAACATTTTAACCACTTCGTTATTCCTCACAGCATATACTTACTTCAGATCAAAGTTCATAATGGTACATACAGAATTGACTGAGTACCATTTTCAATATGGTGGCCATGTTTTACAATTGGATAGGAATTCTATCAGCATATCTTGACACACCCTTCCGAGGCTCATATCTAAAAGATTCAGCTTGATCATCCCAGAAGAGTCAGAGGTGATGTTGGAAATGCACTTAATCTGAAATTAACTGAAATTCTTAGATACGATCCTCGTGTGTGTGTGTGTGTGTGTGTGTGTGTGTGTGTGTGTGTGTGTGCGTGTGCGTGTGCGTGTGCGTGTGCGTGTGTGCATGTGCGTGTGCCCGTCCTTGTACTAGTCTGGACTAATGCCGATTTTATATTTCTAGCCCACTGAGATAACATGCCACAGTTTACATGAATGCCCCACTCAGACACAGTATACTGACTCCGAGCAAACCAGTCCTTGTTTTAGCCCCTTAATGCCAGCGCCAGACAGGGTAACAAGTACCATCTTTTCACATCTTTCCGTATGACGTGGCCGGGGATTGAACCCTAGACCTTCCGCTTTCCAAGCAGACAAGGAGGCAGTCACTAGCGCTTTCATTGATGGGGATGGTTACAACAATCCAGAGATTGACAACATGCTCACCGATACTATTGATCGGAAACTGATTTAACAATCAATTTATTGACTTTAAGTGCCTACTTTAGCAATATATCGATATTTCGATTTATGGTGACACCCCTAGTCCTGATACAATAATCAAAGTATGAACGAGGACTAAATTACTTTTTCTATATTGACTTTCAATACGTTGCGAATTCTGAGCTCTGGGTAAAATACACATCTGAACACAATATCTAGACATGTATGTTTATGAACTGTGACAACCTCTCAAAAAAGGTGCTTCGTCCAAACATCACAAAAAACAAACCTCAAGAGAAAACATTTTAAATCCCAGCTCACAAAAACACACTTTGTAAATTAAACAATGATCATGTGACCTTCAGTGGTTTATAACACACAGAAACTTGACAGTTCAATCACTTAACTATTTCGTCCCCTTTTTCCCCCAGCCAATGAAGATATTGGGCTTGTGCAAATGATCTTTGTTCCACCACATACTTGCCTAAGAAAGCCAAATATATTTTTTTGTAAATATGTACTCCTGATGTTTTACAAAATTAAAAAAACGGCAACATGCTGACGACAATTCCCATAGCTATGTAAATCTTGACTCACATGGGTTGGGATATCTCCGTCTGCTGGAAACTTGACACAATTCCGACACATCTTGGTGACGATGTCTTCTCGAAACACGACAATTTCCTGTGTGCAATACTGCAGGCGGCAGGGATTACTCGTGAAAACAGTTTGCGGAACTCGGCGTCGTAACTCCTCTGTTATGGAGTTAGGGATTGCTGGTCTAACAAAAGAAATACAAAACATTCTTAAAAATAATTCCCTTTAATTCTTATAAACCAACTAAGTGAAATATGTCTGGGCCTCTCATGTCAAAGTAACCTTAATACTTTATAATGCCATGGCCTCGTTCACTGACCCCTTATGAAACTAAACAACCTTCGGGTTCACTAGTAAATCTGTGCTATATAGGTCCTTAGGCCCTTTACTACTGAATCCTGGCCCATCATTTACAAAGGCGAGGATTACATCCCTAAGCATATATTTAATGTTTAAGTGAACCTGATTTTCTTAAGTGCCTAGTGTCGGACAAAAAGACCTACATGAAAGGATCTTATTCCACACAAACAATTTCTTTAATTTAAAAAAGAATTCTACTGAGGATCACATTAACGCCATCACTGTCAGAATATAAAAAAACACAGCTGAAAAAATTTAACAAGCATTTTTCTGGATATTATGTTTGAATTTTTTTTGGGGGGGTCGAGAAACATGTTCAACATTTCTTTAGTGGGAGTGCACCTCAGCATGCTCAAGGTCAGAATGTCCATGACATGAAATGTTATCCTTGCAGCAGAGTGGAAATACTGAGCATGACTGAGAGTGACAGTCGAAAGTGAAAGTCTGGCATACAATTCAAAGTCAAATTCAAAGCCTGGCCACAAAAGGAGAGCTTGTTGCTTGTTTCAAGCAACCTTCCTGATCCTGCAAAATAGCTTCACCACATCACCTGTGACCCCAAAAGGACCCCTAGAAAACTGCTTTTTGCCTGTTAAAAAAGGATATAATTTTTTACAGACTGTTGTTATTGAAATATTGAGTAACTACCAATCGCCCTACCTGTGGTTTGAAGTATTTCGGTCACAAAGAGTCCTATCAACAAGTTTACAGGAGACAAATTCGACAAAAAACAGGAAGTTCACATTTATTTTAAGTCCAATGATGACAGTCTGAAACGGACTGTAGAAATATGCGCACGTGACTCCATTATAATGATAATAATGTAGTCTTCATAAAACATTTAATCCACACACAAAAATAATTGAGAAAATTCTAGATGTGCATCTTCTAAAATGATAAAATGTCGCTGCGTTTTTGTTGTAAACATTGCTCCCATGATGCATGTTACATAACACTTGTAAAGCCTAAACCATGGTACATGATATGAAGTCTGTATTGGGGAATGTATACAAGTTCTTTACACTTTAGAGAGATAGAGGGAAACCATTTATTAATTTAGATAGGGTGAATTACCGAAGTGCCCAAGCTATGGGGTTTTCAATTCATTCCATCAAGTCTACGGTATGATAAGAAAAACAAAACTGGTATAGGGGTGGTCTCAAAAACAAAACTGGGAAGTAAAAGGATATTAGACAGCTTTGATACAGGGTGATAAGATACAAACTTTCTGAGCAGAATTTGGGAGGAATTAAAGATACAATTAATGTTTCCCAGACTGCACTATTTGATGCTCTCCAAGACATGAGATTTTGATACGCTGTGTGTGGCAATGACCGAGCACTTTTCAGGGGAAAATATTACATCCTGTCCATGAGGTCACATTATCTCCAAACCATTCATAACTATCACAGTCAGGGCGACCAGATAATTTACCTTGATGGCTATCGGCAGATGGACAAAAAGCACCCATAGACCATCAGATAATGGTAATTGTGTCATTGTTTTGCATGCTGCAACCCATGATATGGGGCTTATTGATAGATGTGTGCTAGATTTCGTGGTGAAAAAGAAAACTGGTGATTTTCATAAGGAAATTATAGGAGGTGATGTGTTCATAGTCTGGTTGGAACTTCAGCTATTGCCCATCTTAAACAACGCCAGTGTTATTGTCATGGATAACGCCAGTTAATATAACGTTAAGGAATCAGTTTTCGAGCATTTCCGACAGTACTTCAGTGGCAGTGTCTGTACAGTGTGATATACTGATATATATAGTATATTTCATCACAACACCTGTGACCACCCCCATCACTCACCTGGGCAGTATTGTAGAAGGTCCCGGGTCCTGAGGTCCGGGTACAAACACAAACCGACTACTCTCCTTTATTGAAGGAAACTCACAAATAAGGTCTGCTAGATTATGAAACGATTCTGAAATATAAAATATTTTAGGACTGAACAATATAAAAACATGTATACTGTTATTTTAATCCTATTTCTATCATACAGTAAACGATGTTTATAACGAAAAGGCTAATAACAAACTGACGAATATATCAAACAAATTTGCTGTATATATATATATATATATATATAATAAAATAATAAAGTCCACGTTAGTCCATCATCTTCTTTATATCAGTTTCATACATAGTACTTTCGCTGTCTCATGACAGCTCTTCAGTGTAACTGACAATGACATATACTGACGTCATACTTATGATGACGTCATAAATTACAACTGTGACGTCACAATGTATTTACACACTCCAACGACGACACCAAGTAATTTAACAATTGTAGGGAGACTTTTGAATTAAATATACAGTATTTGTAAAGTAACAGTGCAACATTTACGATTGAAATGACAAATCTATTAATACATTCTAGAGTTCAACTTTGGTTTCATCAATTGGATAAACATTTGTTCTTTTTCCAGTCTCAGCTGCTTGTTACTTGTATACAATTTATAAAACGGAAAAATAGTAAATTTCCCGTTTCCGCAATCATCAATGTGTTTGCTGACACCTAAGCATCGAACATTAGGGTCTCTAATCTGCTGTTTGTGTACAGTGACTCTATCTTTTAATTCCATGCCGGTTTCACCGATGTAGTTTTCGCCGCATCCCGAACATCTCATAACATACACCACATCTTTGCTGCGGCAGTTCATGTCGGCTTTCACATTGAAACCCTTGCCATTTGCAAAAAGGAAAGTAGTACCTTCACTTATGATGTTACACGTGCCGCATCTTGGTGTGTTACGGCACGTGTAACATCATAAGTGAAGGTACTACTTTCCTTTTTGCAAATGGCAAGGGTTTCAATGTGAAAGCCGACATGAACTGCCGCAGCAAAGATGTGGTGTATGTTATGAGATGTTCGGGATGCGGCGAAAACTACATCGGTGAAACCGGCATGGAATTAAAAGATAGAGTCACTGTACACAAACAGCAGATTAGAGACCCTAATGTTCGATGCTTAGGTGTCAGCAAACACATTGATGATTGCGGAAACGGGAAATTTACTATTTTTCCGTTTTATAAATTGTATACAAGTAACAAGCAGCTGAGACTGGAAAAAGAACAAATGTTTATCCAATTGATGAAACCAAAGTTGAACTCTAGAATGTATTAATAGATTTGTCATTTCAATCGTAAATGTTGCACTGTTACTTTACAAATACTGTATATTTAATTCAAAAGTCTCCCTACAATTGTTAAATTACTTGGTGTCGTCGTTGGAGTGTGTAAATACATTGTGACGTCACAGTTGTAATTTATGACGTCATCATAAGTATGACGTCAGTATATGTCATTGTCAGTTACACTGAAGAGCTGTCATGAGACAGCGAAAGTACTATGTATGAAACTGATATAAAGAAGATGATGGACTAACGTGGACTTTATTATTTTATTATTTATTACATGTACACCGAGTGAACATTTACCTCATTTTTGTATATATATATATATATATATATATATATATATATATATATATATATATATATGCTTATAACAAATTACGGTAATAACAAAATTACTGGTCCATTTGAGCTCATTATAACAGTACTTTACTGTATGAAAAGTAAAATAACAGTGTTCATGTATTCAAAAGCATCTTAAAATACACAGCATATCACAAAGAATCACATCTTACAATTCTTCACATTAGGCTGAAAAAAAATAATACTCAACCCACATCATCATAAAGTTTGCTGTATGTTTTGTTTTTATTTCCATTTTAAAATTTAAAAAAAGAAGTCCTTTTAATATTACAAGTTCAACGTAAGTCAAATACTGTATTCCAGTATTTTACTCATCAAGGAATACATTTATTATGTAGGGAAGCCCTTTCCCAGGCTGATTGTACACAACTGTTTATTTGGTTACATACTAGTATGAACACCCCCACCCCCACCCCCACTCTTCACCCCACCCCACCCAAAAAAGAGAAAGACACAGCCCACCCTCACTATATTTTCAAAAACCATTGTCTGAGAACCATTTTTTTTTCATTTTGTTAAGCCTTAGAAAGATGTTATGACATAAAAAATATCATCACATGATGCTTCATTTTAACCTAGGCTTATATAATATCCACAGAATATTCTTAACTTCAAATTCTAGATTTCTCTGTACTCAAATGACAAAGCTCTTATCTGAGCTATCACGTAATTCAGGAGAAATCACATCAAACGATGCAGAGTAACAGCAACCACCAGTGCTGGCAGAGTTATCTCCCCTTATTGTGTTTGTCAGCTTCTTTCACTCACACCATGAGCATGTTGCAAAATTGACTGAGGATTTGTTTGTTTGTTGTTTAATGCCACACTCAGCAATATTACAGCTACATGAAAGCGGTCTGTAAATAATTGAGTCTGGACCAGACAATCCAGTGATTGACATCATGAGCATCAATCCACGTAATTGGGATAGTCGCCTTTTACGGCAAGCATGGGTTACTGGGACCTTTTCAAACCAGGAATCCCCAATGGCACCATGACGTCAAAGTATACAATTTGACTTAAACCCTTAAAGTTAAAACATTACAAAATACATTTCATCAGTTTTAATCTATGCAAGTCTATGTTTCTCCAACAGCAACTTACCTTTTAATAGTTTTACATGATTACTTCCGTGGGGTGCAGAAGAAAAGTTGCCACATAAAACAAAACAAGTTGGAGGGAACTCTGCATATCCTGTGAACAGCTCTCTCAATTTCTCCATCACCTGAAACAGACGAGTCTCATGCTGGGTCGTCTGGGTAATCCTGGGCATGTTTGTATATTTGTAGTTTAACGCCGCACTCAGCAATATTCCAACTTAATGTCGGCATTCTGTAAATAATGCAGCATTGACCTATGCAATATGTATATGACGAAATGCATCAACCAAGTGAGTGAGCCTGACCAGCGATCCCGTTAGTCGCCTTTTACGAGAAGCATGGGTTGCTGAAGACCTATTCTAATATGGATCTTCACATGAGGAGGCAAGCATGGGTTGCTGAAGACCTATTCTAACATGGATCTTCACATGAGGAGGCAAGCATGGGTTGCTGAAGACCTATTCTGGGTGTCTGTATATCACATTGTAAATGTCCACATGATCATTGATTCATTCCAGGTTCAAAATTAATTATCTAAACATCCAGTACACTACACCAATTATTTACTTTACAGGACCCTCATATTGCCTGCTAGGACCCTTAAAATTTTCCCCTGGCCCCCCACTTTCGTAAGTCAAGGCAAAATCCTGCAAGCCCAAACACTGGACAATCTACAGGCACTGTAGCAGACACAGGCTGTTCCTATGTGAGAGATCAGATCAGCAGTCTCACTCAGTGTGGACTGACATTGAAAAGACTGATGTGGGTCCTGTTTTACCAAGCAATCTTACCCCTAACACAATCGTAACATATTTATTATTTTTCGTTTCATGGGCCCACCTCCCCTATAGAAAAGCAGCTGGAAAAGAAATACAATAAACATAACAATATCTATTTTTATTTTGACTCCCATGAGTAATATAGACCCTCTTATATAATTCAAAATGATATATATAATTCCATGTCTACATCATGTACAGCACTATCACGCACAGCACTATCACGCATGCACGCATGCACGCATGCACGCACGCACGCACACACTAGAGATGGACAGAATAACTCACTTTAACATGGTCCAGCCAAACATCCGACAGGAACACAATCATGGCATCCTCGTTGTCAAGCTCGATCTGTCTCAGCTTCGCCGAAGCTTTAACACATACATTAGATGGGCCACCAAAGAAGTTAATATTTCCAAAGTATGCCCTGAAAATAAACCAGAAATAAGCTGAAATACACCAAGTTCCGCATGTCAGATTGAGAACTTACACCTTTAGTAACACTAGGAGCGAAACAATACAATACAGTACTGATGTACTGCAATATCAAATGTCACACTAAGTATTGTTTTTTTAATTATTTTGTATATATTTTCACGTTACTTAAAAATGAGAACTACAGCCATGCCCACCACCAACATGACATAATAACATTTACAATGTTCATGGCTGTGTACAATAGCGCTACTGGACCGTGTTTCACAAAGAAATTGTATTGCTTCAATGATTGTAACTCATAGACTTACGACAGTCATAACACTTTGATCGCTACGTGAAACAGGGCACTGCTGCTGAATAGCTTACTCAGTGCCATGTTCTTGCAGCACTGGCAAAACGTCTTGTCATATCTGTATTTGCCATTGCTATTTATCTTAAGCCATTTTTTCATTTGTTGGATCACAGATTCTTTTGGTCAAAATCAGAAGTCGTAGGAGGGAATAATTCATTTATTAAAAGATGATATCAGCTTCATCTTTTTAAACTGGATCACAGAATGTTTTACAAGCATTAAAAAATACTCACAGAAAGTAAATGAATTTGTTACTCTTCAGAGCCTTCATCTGCTTAAAGCTTAGTTTTTTCACAGTTTTTCCTTGGAAGACAGGGGCGGTCGGGTAGCCTAGTGGTTAAAGCGTTCGCTCGTCACGCCGAACACCCGGGTTCGATTCCCAACATGGGTACAATGTGTGAAGCTCATTTCTGGTGTCCCCCACCGTGATATTGCTGGAATATTGCTAAAAGCGGCGTAAGATCAAAACTCACTCACTCACTCCTTGGAAGACAAAGGGAGTTAATTTCGGCAAAGTCCATGTGAAAAGGACAACGGTCCTGGGACATGCAATACTAATACTAATGCAAGTTATTTTGCTATGACTCGTCGACTGAACGATTTAGCCAAATTACCCCCATTTGGCCCCGCCCCTCATCCCCTTGGGCGGTGATCAGTCCTTCCATTTGTGCAATTTTGAATCCTCACCGCCGGAGAATGCTTCCAACCATATATGGTTGATATCTATCGCTTGGTTCCAGAGAAGAAGTTGCTAAAAGCAGTATAGCCAAATTATCCCTATTTGCCGCAGCCCCCCATTTGTATAATTTTCAACTTCCAGTCAAATTTCGTTAATTTCCAATTAGTGGTTCAGAAAAAGAAGTTGTTTGAAAAAATTGTTGATGTACGGACAACGGATGCCACAGCATGGCATAAGCTCACATTGGTCCATCGGACCAGGTGAGCTAATAATTGGGCATGAATATGTGTCAGCAGAAAAATATAAGTGTAAATTTGGATGATTTATCTCTCTCCAATTTTGAAAATAAATAGTTTCTGCGGATCTGTGATCCAACAAACAAACAAATAATGACGTTATCATTTGAGGGATGATTTTATTTGGTAACGTTTTCAATGTAATGCAATCTTTATATCAGTATATATAGGTAACTGAGTAAGGCCAGGTGTTTTATATTTTTCGGATTACGGACCCGCCGACTCTATTTTTTGAGAAAATGTAAAAAATAAATAAATCAGATTTCCTTTTTTTCCCCCCGCCGATAGCCATGTCGTCAGTTATTTTATTTGTTATCATCACCTTTTAATAAAAAAACATATGAATTTACCGTTGTAAAGAGTAAAGAGATACATAATTGATCTTTGTTGATCTCGAAGCCTCCCTTGACAATTGTCCGTGTTGTAAGTGGCAGAATTTTTATTGTTATAAGGGGCTTTATCATCACAAATGGCAGCCTTTTGAGCACAGAATATGTTCATAAAGTATGCCAGAGGCATTCTGCATTAAAAGAAAATGCATCTGGCTTTTTTTTTCCTCCTCCAACCCTGGACTTTGGGCTGAAAAATCTGTAATCCTAAAAATAAAAAAATCCTGGCCTAACACAATACACCTCTAATAATCACCTCTAATAAATACACTCCATAATTATGGAACATAAATGAACAAAATATAGCTACCTTGTTGTTTTGCTCGGCTCAGGAGGCGGGAAGCCAAAAGCTGTTACGTGAAATGTGCCATCTTCATATGACCCTTCCGCCAACACAAAACAATTCTCTGTAAAAAGTCCTGTGTGGAAACTGTGCATGGTTGTCAAGGAAACTCTCCTGAGAAATACATCAACACTATGGAGCTAAAGTATCATGATGTGAGGTTGACCATAAGCTCCATCAACATTGTAAACATATCGCTATTTCATTGATGTTTCCATCAACATGGTAAACATATCGCTATTTCAGTGATGTGTCCATCAACATGGTAAACATATCGCTATTTCCAGTTTCCACACTTGCCGAACTGGACTAACGAGTCTATGCATAGTCCAATCAAAATCGCGTAACGAAATTAACGTCCAGTTCGTAAACTGCCATGCAGATTTCGGTTGATCGCTTGATTTGAGAAGTATGTTTTCTGTCACTTAGCGTCAACAGATATGTTCCAAATCTGTTTATGTTTTTAACCAAAGTGATCACGTGATTTGAAGCACTTTGCTTAGAAAGACCCATTTTATTACAATAAAGATCTTGATTATCGATCAGATCGTCTTCACTTGCCGCTGCCATTTTGTTTGAAGCAGATGCATAGTGAAATGAGAGGCGGAATTTGATTGGTCAACATGAGGGAGAAGGGACAAGCTCCTTCCCAGCGTGTGACACCTTCGTTACACTCTCGGTAACATCGCTGCCACCAGTGTGGGCGCGGCCATTACAATAATCTTGAAATTTGCCCTCTAACCCCAAATGTAGTAACATTTATACTTTTGTTTATGTCTTTCGGAATGCCATCATATTTAATTTTGAAAAGGTTTACGACTGACCATGTTTTCCAGATGAATTTACTTTGTTGTTTGTATAATCAGATTGGTTCGAGATTGCAGACTAACGGAAAATCAACCTACGTCTCCCTTACATTCTTACTATATCAATTACATGATAGTTTTAATGAAATAGAAATTCAATTTGACAAGCAAAGAACAGTAATTTAGCGGCGGTAAGTGTATTTGGCGTCACGACAGTCATCACTTGTTTGTAAACAAAATGGTCATTTTGTTGCAAGTTCAACTCCAAGCATGGTTGGGGCCACCTATCACAGTGGGGAGTTTTGACTGGTGGCAGCGATAGTATAGAGAACTCTGCGAACGGGCTATCGCTGTGAGGAGCCTGGGAGAAGGGACATAGAAGGGACATAACTCATAACAGCCACTGGAGGTGCTACAATTTTGCTACAAAAATCTTTTTGGCAAGGGTTGAAACTGGACTATTACAGTCAGTTAACTCCCTTGCCTCGGGTAGATGTAGTAGCATCTGAGGGCTATAATTCTGATCTAGTTTTCAAAGCTTCAATTTTGCTACAATTGGAAACATAATAAAGATTCTTATCTTCTTCAAGCAGGACTAAAATCCATTTGATACCTCAAACTTAACATGCCTTCTCACACAAAATTTGAAAAACCTTGCACATGAAAACATCGATCTATCCAAAGCCTACGCATCGATGCACATAACGACTGTCAGTAACCAGTTAGAATTGTATGTGTTCAATATCAGAACAACAGCTTAAAAAACACATTGAAATTTATTCCTTTTATTATTAACAAAAACACACAAAACACTGTCAGGGCCACACAGTCTGGAAACGAGCACTACCAGGATTTACAGTTGAAGTCAAAATTTTGTTTTTAAAATCCCAAACTATCAAAAGGCACCAGTTTACCCTAGACCTATCTCAGTGCCAAGTTAAGATATAGGTTAAGATATCTCTCATGGTTTCGGAGTTCTGCTCCAGAAACGAAACGAAACATGACGGACAGACGGACGGATGGACAGCACGCATTCCTATAGCCCCCTTCCACTTCGTGGTGGGGAATAATAAGAGGTATCTACAGTTAGACTACCTCAAATTTCAAAACACATATATATTTCGTAATTCCCCCTATTTTTGAGATCCTGCTCCACCCAAGTACACATAAAGGATATAGCACTAGTCAGCTCCAGGGGCACGGCTCCGGTAGGATCCTCCAAGTACCACTTCCCCTGAAACACACACCATTATTCAAGCTGAGGAGGAAAGTGGCAGAAAGTCATAGCAAAAATGACAAAATCCCTAAATATCAAACATTGCCATGAGTAAAGATCCTTGAAAATAACAAAGTTTCAGATTACAAGAAGTTGCAACACATCATCCACAATGGATTACGTCACCATAGCCGCGTGTGACGTCATTCGACCTTCAATTCCGCAAAAAGGTAGCTGCTTTGTGAACCGTATGAATGTGGTTGGCACGGGTCTGTGTATATGATGGGTGCCTAACAATAATTGAGTCTGGTCCAGACGCAGCCAGGGATTGACGTTATGAGCAACATCCAATGCAATCAAGGTTCATACAGATATGAGACACTATAGGTTCATACAGATATGAGACACTAAAGCTTCATACATATATCAGACACTAAAGGTTCATACAGATATGAGACACTAAAATTAAAGGCCTTTTCAAGGCTTTCAACCATCATTTTGCAAGGCTATTTTATTTGGGTTATTAGTCTTAGTCTGTCATTATTTTTTTAAATCCAGCAAACCATCTATTAGACCTAAGAAGCAGTATGACCATCACAAATTTTCCAACAAGATTTATTTTCACAACAAACAAATAAAATAAATTAAGCCATAAATTTTTATACTTAAAAAACACAAGTAAATTTCATTTGTAAAATTTCAAGGCTTTTCAAGCTATTTTGGTCATTTTCAAGGCTTTTCAAGGTTGACAATGAAAATCAAGGTTTTTTAAGAGGGACCTCAAACTTCAAGGCCTTTTCAAGCCTGTACAAACCTTGGCAATGACACACAATCAACCAAATCACTGAGTCTGACCAACTGGGTTGCCTCAAGGGACAAACAAGGGATACTGGAGACCTATTCTAAACTGGAATCCTGACAGGGATAATAGAACACCCCCCACCCCCACCCCCCAAAGAGGTATACCAGTATAGTTTCAACTGCATCAAATACAAGAGATACATAAAACTGATATGTATACATGATGTTAAGGTTAGTCAGGTATTAGAAATACTGAACAAATTTAAAAACATGAGAGAAAATGACTTACATTCACCAATATTAGTTTCGGAAAGTGCTTCAACATAAAAAAAACCAACTTCCTACCTCTTTAAGTTGAGTCAGCATCCCCAGAATGATGATGTCTCCCAGCTTGGCTGTACTTCCCAATAAATATTCAATAGGTTTTAGCTGAAATATAACCATCACGTCTGATATCAAAGCATTTTCTAGAGGACCAACTGTTACTACGAAAATCCTTTGAAAATCACCACCACACCACCAGGGTACGATGACATTGTGGACGGGCAACAACTCACACCACCAACGTATGATGACATGGTGGATGGTCAACAACTCACACCACCAGTGAGTGAGTGAGTGAGTGAGTGAGTATGGTTTTACGCCGCTTTTAGCAATATTCCAGCAATATCACGGCGGGGGACACTCACACCACCAATGTGTGGTGACATTGTGGACGGGCAACAACTCACACCACCAACGTATGATGACATGGTGGATGGTCAACAACTCACACCACCAGTGAGTGAGTGAGTGAGTGAGTATGGTTTTACGCCGCTTTTAGCAATATTCCAGCAATATCACGGCGGGGGACACTCACACCACCAATGTGTGGTGACATTGTGGACGGGCAACAACTCACACCACCAACTTATGATGACATGGTGGATGGTCAACAACTCACACCACCAGTGAGTGAATGAGTGAGTGAGTATGGTTTTACGCCGCTTTTAGCAATATTCCAGCAATATCACGGCGGGGGACACTCACACCACCAATGTGTGGTGACATTGTGGATGGGCAACAACTCACACCACCAACATACGATGACATGGTGGATGGGCAACAACTCACACCACCAACATACGATGACATTGTGGATGGGCAACAACTCACACCTCCAATGTATGATGACATTGTGGATGGGCAACAACTCACACCACCAACGTATGATGACATTGTGGATGGGCAACAACTCACACCACCAACGTACAATGACATTGTGGATGGGCAACAACTCACACCACCAACGTATGATGACATTGTGGATGGGCAACAACTCATACCTCCAGGGTATGATGACATTGTGGATGGGCAACAACTCACACCACCAGGGTATGATGACATTGTGAATGGGCAACAACTCACACCTCCAAGGTATGATGACATTGTGGATGGGCAACAACTCACACCACCAACGTATGATGACATTGTGGATGGGCAACAACTCACACCTCCAGAGTATGATGACATTGTGGATGGGCAACAACTCACACCACCAGGGTATGATGACATTGTGGATGGGCAACAACTCACACCACCAACATATGATGACATTGTGGATGGGCAACAACTCACACCACCAGGGTATGATGACATTGTGGATGGGCAACAACTCACACCTCCAATGTGTGGTGACATTGTGGATGGTCAACAACTCACACCACCAACATACAATGACATTGTGGATGGGCAACAACTCACACCACCAATGTGTGCTGACATTGTGGATGGGCAACAACTCACACCACCAACATACAATGACATTGTGGATGGGCAACAACTCACACCTCCAATGTGTGGTGACATTGTGGATGGGCAACAACTCACACCACCAATGTGTGGTGACATTGTGGATGGGCAACAACTCACACCTCCAATGTATGATGACATTGTGGATGGGCAACAACTCACACCACCAACGTATGATGACATTGTGGACGGGCAACAACTCACACCACCAACGTACAATGACATTGTGGATGGGCAACAACTCACACCTCCAATGTGTGGTGACATTGTGGATGGGCAACAACTCACACCACCAACATACAATGACATTGTGGATGGGCAACAACTCACACCTCCAGGGTATGATGACATTGTGGACGGGCAACAACTCACACCACCAATGTATGATGACATTGTGGATGGGCAACAACTCACACCTCCAGGGTATTATGACATTGTGGACGGGCAACAACTCACACCACCAACATACAATGACATTGTGGATGGGCAACAACTCACACCACCAGTGAGTGAGTATGGTTTTACGCCGCTTTTAGCAAATTTCCAGCAATATCACGGCGGGGGACACTCACACCACCAATGTGTGGTGACATTGTGGATGGGCAACAACTCACACCACCAACATACGATGACATGGTGGATGGGCAACAACTCACACCACCAACATACGATGACATTGTGGATGGGCAACAACTCACACCACCAACATATGATGACATTGTGGATGGGCAACAACTCACACCTCCAAGGTATGATGACATTGTGGATGGGCAACAACTCACACCACCAGGGTATGATGACCATTGTGGATGGTCAACAACTCACACCACCAACATACGATGATATGGTGGATGGGCAACAACTCACACCACCAACATACGATGACATGGTGGATGGGCAACAACTCACACCACCAACATACGATGACATTGTGGATGGGCAACAACTCACACCACCAACATATGATGACATTGTGGATGGGCAACAACTCACACCTCCAAGGTATGATGACATTGTGGATGGGCAACAACTCACACCACCAGGGTATGATGACATTGTGGATGGGCAACAACTTACACCACCAGGGTATGATGACCATTGTGGATGGGCAACAACTTACACCACCAGGGTATGATGACATTGTGGATGGGCAACAACTTACACCTCCAGGGTATGACATTGTGGATGGGCAACAACTCACACCACCAACGTATGATGACATAGTGGATGGGCAACAACTAACACCACCAACATACAATGACATTGTGGATGGGCAACAACTCACACCTCCAATGTATGATGACATTGTGGATGGGCAACAACTCACACCACCAACGTATGATGACATTGTGGATGGGCAACAACTCACACCACCAGGGTATGATGACATTGTGGATGGGCAACAACTCACACCTCCAATGTATGATGACATTGTGGATGGGCAACAACTCACACCACCAGGGTATGATGACATTGTGGATGGTCAACAACTCACACCTCCAGGGTATGAGGACATTGTGGATGGTCAACAACTCACACCCCCAGGGTATGATGACATTGTGGATGGGCAACAACTCACACCACCAGGGTATGATGACATTGTGGATGGGCAACAACTCACACCACCAGGGTATGATGACTTGTGGAAGGGCAACAACTCACACCAACAACATATGATGACTGTGGATGGGCAACAACTCACACCACCATTGTGGCCTACCAATCCTCATCTGGGTCAGTTTTCATGGCAAACACAGGGTGCTGGGGACCTTTCCACATAGTGAACAGTAGAAATGTCAGGTTTATGCCCAGCTGTCTGCGTATACACAGCATGTACACTATGCATTGTAGAAAAACTGTACACACCTGGAACTTTTTACTTTGTTCTTCTGGGACTGAACCAAGAGCGGGCGCTGTAAATAGGTCATGACGCAACGTCCTCTGAAATGAGAAAAGATTTATACACCATTTGTACACAGAGTTGTAAATGCTACGACTATCATTTATTTGGTATGTTTTTGCCTCAGTCAGCAATATTCCAACTTATCACATATTTGTAAATAGAGCTGTCTGGGGAAAGCCAATCCAGTGATTGATATTGTGAGCAACGATCCACACATTTGAGGTACAATGACATGCACAAGTCATCTAACCTAGCCACTCAATCCATTTAGTCGTCTCTTACAAAAAGTAAAGATTGCTAAGGATCTATTCTGACCTGGCATCCCCACGGGTGACCCGATTGTGAAATGGATATCCTAACATAACTGTAACAATAGACGAAAGCAACATAACGATATGAATTTCATACATGTACAATCCCCCCAAAAGTTGATTTGTTCCTATAATAATAATAATAATAATTCTTTTTTATATATCAAAACATGTTCAGATTGAAGAACAGACTTCAAATACACATGCTCGAATCATAATTAGTGCCAAAGTTTCTTTCATAATTCAACTAAAGCATTTATCATTCCATAAATGTATGACATTAAACCATGCATGTCATGCCCCCAATGACAAAAATATGCGAGTTAGATAACCGAATGGTGGAAACAGCACTTTTTAATTGGTGCATGTAAGTTGGTGTTTATACAATCAAGGGAACAACATAGATTCCTTGCATCATGTTGATGTTGGAGACGTTTCAGGAGAGAAAATGGGAGTGCTACTGCAGGCTAACATCACAACACTTGTAATGAATCCTCTAGACATGCGGTATGAATAACATGCACTTGTGTAGATATGCATCCCACAATTTGGAGTTCAGTTTTTGGAAAACAAGTACAAGTTTATAAACCATACAATGTGCAGATAATCAAAAATATTATGAAGCAAAATGTTTACATATCATCACCACCATCACCATCATCATAATCCTCCTCCTTCTCATCATCACCACCATCATCGTTCGCATCGCCATCACCATCCTCATCATAATCCTCATCATAATCATTATCATCATCCCCATCCTCATCATTATCATCCCCATCCTCCTCCTCTTCATCACCACCATCAGCCTTCTCATCACCATCCTCATCATCACCATAATCCTCATCATCACCATAATCATCACCATCCTCATCATTATCATCACCATCCTCATCATTATCATCCCCATCCTCATCATAAACATCACCATCCTCATCATTATCATCACTATCCTCATCATTATCATCACCATCCTCATCATTATCATCCCCATCCTCATCATAAACATCACTATCCTCATCATTATCATCACCATCCTCATCATTATCATCACCATCCTCATCATTATCATCACCATCCTCATCATTATCATCACCATCCTCATCATAAACATCACTATCCTCATCATTATCACCATCCTCATCATTATCACCATCCTCATCATTATCATCACCATCCTCATCATTATCATCACCATCCTCATCATTATCATCACCATCCTCATCCTATCCTTATCCGTCTCTTCCCCATAATCCTCATCCTAATCATTATCATCATCACCGTCCTAATCACCATCCTCATCATTATCATCACCATCCTCATCATTATCATCACTATCCTCATCATTATCACCATCCTCATCATTATCCTCACCATCATTATCATCACTATCCTCATCATTATCATCACCATCCTCATCAGTATCATCACCATCCTCATCATTATCACCATCCTCATCATTATCATCACTATCCTCATCATTATCATCACTATCCTCATCATTATCACCATCCTCATCATTATCATCACCATCCTCATCATTATCACTATCCTCATCATTATCATCACCATCCTCATCATTATCATCACTATCCTCTTCATTATCACCATCCTCATCATTATCATCACCATCCTCATCATTATCATCACCATCCTCATCAGCATCCGTCTCATCACCATAATCCTAATCCTAATCAGTATCATCATCACCATCCTCAACATCCTCATCAACATAATCCTCATCCGAATCATTATAATCAGCACCATCCTCATCATTATCATCCTATCCTCATCATCCGTCTCATCACCATAATCCTAATCCTAATCAGTATCATCATCACCATCCTCAACATCCTCATCAACATAATCCTCATCCGAATCATTATAATCAGCACCATCCTCATCATTATCATCACCATCCTCATCAGCATCTGTCTCATCACCATAATCCTCATCCTAATCATAATCATCATCACCATCCTCATCATTATCATCAACATCCTCATCATTATCATCAACATCCTCATCACCATAATCCTCATCCTAATCATTATAATCATCACCGTCCTAATCAGTATCATCATCACCATCCTCATCATTATCATCAACATCCTCATCATTATCATCAACATCCTCATTATCACCATAATCCTCTTCCTCATCACCATCCTCATCATTATCATCACCATCCTCATCATTATCATCCTCATCATTATCAACATCCTCATTATCACCATAATCCTCTTCCTCATCACCGTCATAATCATCATTATCATCACCATCCTCATCATTATCATCACCATCCTCATCATTATCATCAACATCCTCATCATTATCATCAACATCCTCATCACCATAATCCTCATCCTAATCATTATAATCATCACCGTCCTAATCAGTATCATCATCACCATCCTCATCATTATCATCAACATCCTCATCATTATCATCAACATCCTCATTATCACCATAATCCTCTTCCTCATCACCATCCTCATCATTATCATCACCATCCTCATCATTATCATCCTCATCATTATCAACATCCTCATTATCACCATAATCCTCTTCCTCATCACCGTCATAATCATCATTATCATCACCATCCTCATCATTATCATCACCGTCATAATCATCATTATCATCACCATCCTCATCATTATCATCAACATCCTCATCATTATCATCAACATCCTCATTATCACCATAATCCTCTTCCTCATCACCATCCTCATCATTATCATCACCATCCTCATCATTATCATCCTCATCATTATCAACATCCTCATTATCACCATAATCCTCTTCCTCATCACCGTCATAATCATCATTATCATCACCATCCTCATCATTATCATCACCGTCATAATCATCATTATCATCACCATCCTCATCATTATCATCACCATCCTCATCATTATCATCAACATCCTCATCATTATCATCAACATCCTCATCACCATAATCCTCATCCTAATCAGTATCATCATCACCATCCTCATCATTATCATCAACATCCTCATCATTATCATCAACATCCTCATTATCACCATCCTCATCATTATCATCACCATCCTCATCACCGTCATAATCATCATTATCATCACAATCCTCATCATCACCATCCTCATCATTATCATCACCATCCTCATCACCGTCATAATCATCATTATCATCACAATCCTCATCATCACCATCCTCAACATCCTCATCATTATCATCACTATCCTCATCATTATCAACATCCTCATCATTATCATCATCACCATCCTCATCATTCTCATTCTCATCATCATCACCATCACCATCCTCATGATCACAATCACCACCACCCTCCCGTCCATCATCATCATACTCGTCAAGTACCTGGTGTAGTGTGGTGTATCGGTCCCGAAAGAGTGCTGCTTTATCCAGGGAGCTCCCATGGAGCACTGGTGATGAATATCCCATGTCGCTGTCTCTACAATAGATATTTAATCTGCATCATTCCTTATTCTGTGGAAATACTTACACCTTCGGCTTCCTGATACTGCCGGACTGACAGACATGCAGGACTCCAATAAAACACATCCTGTGTCACATTAGACAAAAGGTGTTCAGGAATTGGGATCATGTCTAATTTATTAATGCCAAGTAAATTATTCAAAAAACAATTCCCAAATAGAAATACTGTGATAGAAGTCTCCTACAGGACACTATCAAAAATATGCCATCATTAAAGCTTTAATTGAAAAAAAAGCCTGTAAATATTTTGAAGATGATATGATTAAATGATACTTACGGAATAAACTTTTTCCTCTCTTGATGATATGAAAATCTTGGAACTGAGAAAGCATCGATGATACAGAAGACTTTGTCCCTGAAAGAGTTGAACAAAAACTATACATCCAAGGAATTTAGAGGACAATCCTGAAACGGTATTGATTTCTACTCCTGTCAAAATGGTCAAGCACGCTTCGTAAATCAGATTTCATATCATACTGTTAATGAGCCATGGAGTATTTACACATGTCATCATTCACACTGGGTAGTGATAGTTTTCTTCGGGATTCAATAGATGTTAACTCTCTTGGGTACAGTCTATTGGGTTTGGGGGGCCAGTCGCTCAGCTGCCCCAATTCGCTGTGCAGAGTTGCATCCCTTTGGGCACGCTAGAAACCTATGATTGTGGGTTCGAATCACAGTTCACCCCGATTATGTTTCTAGGTTTGTCAGCACCATACCCGTGCTCGTGGGTTTCAACAAAGTGGTTAATGTCTGAGACCTGCATCACTTCAGGCTTTCCTCCCTAATTAAGCTGACACGCTGTGATATAAATGGAATACTGTTCAAAGCAGCATTAAAGCCCATCTCACTCACAACTGGGTTTTGTAATCCAATGAGCGGAAGTTTTAAAGATAATTCTATTTCCAGTCCTTTCAGGTAACTTCTAATCAGCATATATTCATGTGCTGCACGACGTGATTCAGTCACATGTCGCATAACTTCATAACAGCAATGGCTGTCTAATTAACAAGACAGATGTTACACATTTATGCATTATTTGAAGCAGCAGAGTTGATGAACCAGCAGCATTAGAAATTGGCACTAGTCCTATAGTCCTTACCAATCTGTCCGATAGTTAAGGTATCATAAGGACTAGTAGAAATTGGCCAATTTAAGGGTTTTTCTATATGCTATCATAGTAGGACTAGTGGACTATAACCGTTAGTTTCTACCCCTAACAAGTGATGCATTCAGTCAGTAAAAAAACATCTGCAAAGACACACAGGTACAGAAGTGGAAAAAGGCCTCAACAGGTACTTGCAGTGATGTAATGCTTTGGATTTCTTAGTGCATATTTGTACGCAAGCAACTAAAATTTAATTAGCTTTTGGCGATTTAGAATGCATATTTTGCATGATACGCAGTTTATCTGAAGCTCGGGTCCAAACAATCGAATGCGTTACCCTTCATCCTCCTGCTCATCATTGCACTCCTGTACTGCTGATTCACACACTGTCCGGTCGATCATGGATGACGATACTGCAACATCAGAAGGGAACAATTATTGACATGAAAAATGTGTCACAATATATACAAATCTAGCAATAAATTTGGTTAAAAAAAAAAGAATATCACAGACAGTGAGTAAGCTAAAATGAGGAGCCACTGGCTTCTTACGTTTCATAACTCACCTGAAAGGCCCTGTTTGTGGATATGTTATAGTAATGACATCATTAATAAAACAATACAGGCAATAACAGAATCTAATTAATTTATGCCCAGGAATCATCTGTTGTCTATTAGATGACAGCTAGGCCCAGAAATGTAATAATGTTCCACTTAGGAACTATAACAATTCACGGCCTAGGACCATCATCCAGTGATAGACAACAGATGTCTGGTATATAAATTAACCAAGAGTGAGTGAGTGAGTGAGTGAGTTGGGTTTAACGCCGCTTTTAACAGTGTTCCAGTTATATCACAGCGTGTCAGCTTAATGTGGGAGGAAAGCCCGAAGTGATGCAGGTCTCAGACGTTTACCACTTCGGTGAAACCCACAAGCACGGGTATGGTGCTGACAAACCTAGAAACATAATCGGGGTGAACCGGGATTCGAACCCACAATCATAGGTTTCTGGCGTGCCCAAGGGACGCAACTCTGCACAGCGAATCGCGGCGCCTTAGACGACTGGGCCACCCGTGCCCCCAAATTAACCAAGAACATCAACTAGCTGAATAGTGATAACATATAGCAATACCCCCGAAAATGTTTGAAATTCTACTAGCCCTTAGGATACCTTGAACATTAACAAAACTTGTGCTAGCAGGCTAGAGCCAAGTTCCATCCCTGAGCCTAGACATTTTATGCTTCTAAAACCCATTTTTGTATTATTATTGAGCCTTCGTAAACTTTTTGTTTTGAAAATATTTATTAACAGCTAAAAACCCTAATTACACATTACAGTATAAAGGGAGATAACTCACATGGTTGTTTCTGCACAATCTCAATGATTTTCTCCATCCAGGAGTCTCTCTGTACATCGGTCACAGGGGTCAACACGTCCACAAGGTAGCGGCTGGCCTCACTGTAACCATGACAACAACAAACACTCATCAACGGAAGAAACTGGAACATCAGTAATACTATCTATATGTGAAAGCATTTTGTTGTTAGATAAGCATCAGTGAGTGAGTGAGTTTGGTTTAACGCTGCTTTTAACAGTACATGTATTCCAGTTATATCACGGCGTGTCAGCTTAATGTGGGAGGAAAGCCCGAAGTGATGCAGGTCTCAGACGTTTACCACTTCGGTGAAACCCACGAGCACCGGTATGGAGATAAGCATCAGACAAATATCAATATTCTGACACCTCACATCTTGCCAAGGCAAGTGTGTCCGCTATCCTGTATCAAAGCCTACTTAGTGGAAACTAGACTTTTATAAATAGGCCAGTGGACACTCTTGCCTCTTGAAGATGGATACCTATCTTCCTGAGGCAAGGGAGTTAACTGACTGTAAAAGTCCAGTTTTCGACCTTGCCGAATTAGGATGGAATGTCTGAGTTCGATCATAGCGCCACCAGTGGCTATTACGAGTTATGTCCCTCCTATTAACCAATCAGATTCCACCTCTCATATCACTTGCATTTGCTTCAAACAAAATGCCGGCACCCAGTGAAGACGATCTGATCAATAATCAAGACATATATTGAGATAAAACATGTCTTACTTCACGCAGTGCATCAAATCACGTGATCACCTTGATTAAAAACATGAAAAGATTTGGAAAATATGTGTTGACGCCAAGTTGGCGGTTCACATGCTTTGCATATCCTGCAATCAACCGAAATCTGCACAGCGGTTTACCAACCGGATGTCTATTCCATTACACGAATATGATTGGACTATTCATAGACTCATTAGTCCAGCCAAAATATAATTCCATATCAGCCCAGTTCAGCAAACGGTCGAAACTTGATTTTTCTAGTCAGTTAACTCCCTTGCCTCGGGAAGATGGTCAGAAGCAAATGCAGAACAATATATATTTATCAACATTATATATATTCTGTCCTTTCAGAGAAATACAATAGTTAATTATGCCTCCACTGAAAAAAAAAAATTAATATAGATAGACACACAGACAGACAAATCTCATCCCAATAACATACAGCAATATACACATACACCATATAATGTGTGTGTGTGTGCGTGTGAGCATGTGTGTATATAGACACACAGAACAGTAATTTACATACATTTATATAAAATAGATTTTGCTTTTCTTGAAAAGTTATGGCAGTCAAAGAACATAAAACATTGCAAGATAATACAAAGGCTGTTTTTAGGCATATCACACCATATATATATAATTAGGTCAACTCTCCCTGAACCTGCCAGACGCCTTAATACTAAAAATAAAATCACATTTCCTGTTGAAAGCATGTACTCAAGTAACTAGGGATGTTATTTCATGTAGATTTACACAGATATGAACTTAAACTTGAATCACAAATAATGTTTTTTTGTCATTGAAGTGTTGTCAGCTGGTTATGGATTGGTTCTGAAGAACTTGGGAGGCAGAATACATCGAAGTCTTCATGATCAATTGTAAGGTATGTATCTTATAGGATGAATATTGTTGTACATGGGAGTCCAATACATAGCATCAGACGACACAGTTTATGGACAGACACTTGAATGACAGATCCACTTTATTGTGATGTCATGTTTACTGCCAAATCACTGCTTTCAAAATAAACATGGTCCTGCGGAAAGGTGTTTGTATATGTCGAGATCAATGAGTGTAAGTGGACTCTAGTGTTTGTTTCCGATTACTTCACAAAATAATATCTGATTACACACCTCCTGAGAGTGAGGCCATGCATCTTGAAAGACGACTGAATGTGTGACTTCAACTTCGCAGCCATTGCGTATGTCCCGCCAATTCGTATTCACACAACTCGATAAAACAAATATCAGCAATACAATTGCATATCACTGAAATTGGGTCATAATGATAACTATAAACCTTAAAATAAATATTTTAAGTAACTACAAAAATAAAAGTATGTCACTTAAACTTTAAGTTGGAAAGCATTCTTATTCAGCTTTATCGATTTGTACAATAATTCGTGGGACTTTCCCAGTCAAAGATAAGCTCTAAACACAGTGTGTACTTTATCCTAGCCAATAGAGGTATCGGAAATGTCACTGTTTGGAGCTGCACTGGGGTTAACCCCCCTTGTTTTGGAGTGTTTGAAGCGCTCTTAAATATTTTATATGCAATGCTGTGAGTGAACGCAGTTTTAAACAGTGTTTTAGTGATAAAGAAACAGTTTGTATTCCAAGGCGTGAAGGAGGCCTTAAATATTATCCATGTCTCGTTATTGCGCATTTATGCATGTGGTCGTAAAATATATTTGACACTGAAATTAAATAACATATCTTAACTGATTTATACCACTGTGTATATAAATTGGAAATATTAATTTTTGCTTCTTTTTTTTATATGTAATAATATTTTCTACAATTATAGTATGAAATCAAAATTTGTCCCCATCCCTTACGAGGAATATCAATATAACATGTGTGATGTTACAGAGTATCCTAACTTTTGATATTATCTATTGACCACAGGGAACTTACTCACTAGGCTAGTTCCACATATCGTATGCGCAAGCTAGCTTATGCAACCGGGTACCTTCTGTGTTCTGTGTGCACCCGGGTGCTGTTTGATTTCGGGTAGACAGGATCCCAGTCAAGAAATTGCATTTGTTTGGCAGGTGCGAGGGGGATGAAAGCGAGCATTTGATTGGATGACCGTGTAACCCCTGACCCAACAGGATGTTTTGTTAGACCGTGGGGGTTGTGTTTGTCGTGTCACTTCAAGGGGACAATTGTCCATAATACGCGAACGACAGTTTAAGATTTGTTTGCACACAACATTTAAATAAGGTGAGTATTGATTGATATAACTTACAATTATACATAACAAAGGTATAACAGGTTTATAAGCCCGAAACACGGAAATGATTACGTCAATTTCCTTATAGTAGGTCCACGCTATACATATGTAGCCATTGCGACTCGAATATGAAGGCCTAGAGAAGCAATCTACGAACGTTATGTACAAATACTAAACGAAATACGTACGTCATATCGTATGTTGACCTCGATAAGAATAAGGAGCATGACATTTTGAAATATATTTATTTCACACTGTTTGAACGTGTATTATTCATTAATTGAATTTTGAACATAGAATCAGAATCTTCAGTATTATACAAATATGTTTATTAAAAAAACCCAGGCCTTTGGAAATCTTTTTAAAAATTAATTGTTTCATGTGTGACCAGCTGATGATATGCCATGTTTATGATCTTTATCAATATGATCTAATAGGGGTGGTGGGGCAGCCTAGTGGTAAAAGTGTTAGCTCACAGTCATAACGGTAAAGACCTGTGGTAAAGACATGGGTACAATGTGTGAATTTCTGACGTTCCTCACCATGATAACCATACTCACTCCCTGACATCTAATAATAGTTCTGATCATCACTTCTGTTGCAAGAGGTCACTAACAGGACCATGTGGTCACGCTCGCTGACTTGGTTCATGCATGTCATTGTATCCCAGTTGCGTAAATCGATGCTCATGATGTCAATCACTGGATTGTCTGGTCCAGACTTGATTATTTGGAGTGGATGAAAATACTTTCATTTTCACCACTAATTTTCCCTTCTAATTTGTGTGTGACTGTCACGATCCACTTATGCATCAGTGCATGTATAGGGACGTCCCACTGCTAATGATTACAGTATGATGTATCATGATGATGCGAACAACATAGATAATTCTAACTTTGATGACATACCTTTGACCTCCTTCAGCTCAGCAACAATATGATCAAATTTCAAAATGTTCATAATTCACCTACATGTCTAAACAAGCTAGCTTGTGTACCCTATGTTAAACTGAACTCAATTGTATACAATTTTGGTATTCAAATCTTAAGTTGTAATTTAGAACATTATGTTCATTGGACAACTAACTAGTGATAGTAGCATGACCAAGATTGATTGTTGATTTTTCAACTTTAAGCATGGTATATGCATGTCCATAAAATGTAATAAAATCAAATGGAGCAGAAAAGTTATTTGATACCCAATTTTGATGATGTATTTTTAGATGTTCATTATCCTGGTAAGCATGGTAAGGAAACTAGTAAATTTGAAATCATAGAAACCAGTACACAACAATGTTAAATAGAGGATTCATCACGAGTGTTTTTTAATATGGGAAATATCAACCAAGTCTTAGTTAATCGGTATTTGCCGAGCCTTTGGCGAGGCAAATACTGATTAACGGGACGAGGTTGATATTTCCCATATTAAAAAACACGAGTGATGAATTCTATTTATCATTTTCACATTTTAGCTTCCAAATTAAGGAATAATTACATTAAACATTAACATCACCAACTTGTCGAAATCTTACGTATAGATCGTGCGTAGTGATACATGTTTTCCATAGCCATGTAAACCAAAATAAACAATTCGCTGAGAAAAAAAGTTCCTCGGATTATTTTAAACAAAATACTTGAACAGACTTTTGCAGAATAATTGAAACTTTAATAACGGTAACAACAACGATTCTGTGTAATCTGATTATATCTCTGGTGTAACTTCACTAATAATATATAGTTTCAAATCAAACCGCTCGCTCTTCCGGTTATCTAATTTGCATATCTAATTTGCATACTTATGTCATTGGGGTATGACATACATGTTTTTATGTCATAAGCTCTCTATAAATCCATGTGTAGGATGGCCATTTTTAAAGTCCCTCACCTGATACTGCTTGAATATTGTAAAAGCAACCTGAAGCCCTACACTCACACAGAACATACATACAGTGTTAGATAAAAAAAATATTGCTAATCATCTGTTTCTGCTATCTAGTGTCTGTCACAGTCCTTATATCTCAAAAGCATATCTTTTTATGTGCGTTGTGAACTGTTGAACTGTCCATGAAATCGCTTGACTGATTAACATCCTGTGATAAGGGTGTGAACTCGGATTTTACACTGACATTGACAAATGATTTGTTTGTTTGTTTGTTGTTTAACCATGTTAACGCCGCACTCAGCTATATGACTGCGGTCTGTAAATAATCGAGTCTGGGCCAGACAATCCAGTTCTTGGGATCATGAGCATCAATCCACCCAATTGCGATACGATGACATGCATCAACCAAGCCAGTGAGCCTGACCACCTGATCCCGTTAGTCGCCTCTTACGACAAGCATAGTCGCCTTTTACGGCAAGCATGGGTTGCTGAAGACCTGTTCTAACCCGGATCTTCATGGTTCCATTGACAAACGAATGATTGCTGAATATGACAATGACATGTGAACAAATGATTTTGAGGTACTATGACCATGACATAACCCATGAAGATCCGGGTGAGAATTGGTCTTTAGCAACTCAAACTTGTCATCAGCGGTGACTAACGGGATCTGATAGTCAGACAGGCAGACTTGGTTGATGCATGTCATCATAACCCTGATCCATTGATCAATGCTCATGATGTCAATCACTGGATTGCCTGGTCGAGACTTGATTATTTACAGACTGCTGGAATATAGTTGGACTATTGCTGAGTGTGGTGTTAAACAACAAACAAACCATGATGATTGTTTCTTCAAAATTGTCAACAGTATAAATTATTTGTATCCATGCTAATTTTGTTTGCCTTAACACTGCCTATAGGACGCAATAGTTTGCACCCTGTCAAACCCTGCTATACTCCATGATCGTGATACTCAAACATGTCAAAATTTGAATTTTATTCCACATGTATGAAATGTCTGGATGACAGATGCGTGAAAGTAATAGGCAAAAGGAGGTATTACAGGATCTGTGATATGTCAGACCGCCTCCGTGGTCTAGTGGTAGAGCGTCCGCCTGGAGAGCGGAAGGTCCGGGGTTCGATCCCCGGCTGCGTCATACCAAAAGACGTTAAAAGATGGCACTTGTTGTTATCCTGTCTGGCGCTCGGCCTCGTCTTACCAAAAGATGTTAAAAGATGGTACTTGTTGTTACCCTATCTGACACTTGGCATCAAGGGGCTAAAACGAGGACTGGTCGGCTCGAAGTCAGTATACTGTGTCTGAGTGGGGAATTCATGTTAAACTGCGGCATGGTATCAGTCTGGACCAGTACAAGCAGCCACACAAACACAGGTACATGCACATCTCCATATAAGTGCAATAATTTTGGACGCAACGTTTAACCCCATTTCACCTCACCACCTCTGTGATATGTCACTGGACTAACATTTAGCCCAGAAATAAAAAGTTATCTTATTTGAAAATGTATGTCTACAAAATATATAAACTACAATATATATAAACTACAATCCAAATGGAGCCCAGAACAATGCTGAATTCCTTTGCTAGATCTGAGGCAATGTAGACTTGAGTTGGATTTATTTGTTAAATTATTGTGTAGGGTCTGTGAGACTACATGTCATCTACACTAGATTTACCCAAGGGCCCTTTCCTTGTAACAGGATGTATACTATGCAGGATGCTGCTGTTCATTTAAAGGTTAGATGTCGGAGTGCCAGCTGAGGGGGGTTTTATCGATACACTAGACAATACTCCTGTCTCACTCACACATCCGATGTATGTTGTGTTGACGGGTGTTTTGTATACATATAAATCAGGGCCCCGTTCCACAGAGCGATCTTAGTGCTACGTTGGTCGTAAGCCTATGACAAAGTATGGGAGTTACGACCACCTTAGCATTAAGATCGCTTTGTGGAACGGGGCCCAGGTATTATTAGCAGTAACTGTTACAATTTTGTGTCATGCATATCATTGTCATGTTTATTTCCTGACCTAAAACTACAAACATACAACTCCAAAATCATTCGCAATTAAACTTCTAACTTTTTTTAGTTATAATCATGGTAATTAATCACCTGCATTTTATGTAGTCTGGAGCCACTGCAACCTTTTTATCATGTTTGTTTGAACAAGCACTTCTCTGAAGTAAGTATGTAAAATTAGGTTAGAACTTGTATTGCATATGGAATTAGGTGCTTTACAACCATTATGTTATTATTCTGATGATATAAAATTATTAAACATCTTGAAAGATGGGGTCCCATTCTGTAACTCCTGTATAACAAGGTAGACATGGTAGATGGGGCCCCATTCTGTAACTCCTGTATAACAAGGTAGACATGGTAGATGGGGCCCCATTCTGTAACTCCTGTATAACAAGGTAGACATGGTAGATGGGGTCCCATTCTGTAACTCCTGTATATCAAGGTAGACATGGTAGATGGGGTCCCATTCTGTAACTCCTGTATAACAAGGTAGACATGGTAGATGGGGCCCCATTCTGTAACTCCTGTATAACAAGGTAGACATGGTAGATGGGGTCCCATTCTGTAACTCCTGTATAACAAGGTAGACATGGTAGATGGGGTCCCATTCTGTAACTCCTGTATATCAAGGTAGACATGGTAGATGGGGCCCCATTCTGTAACTCCTGTAAAAGGTAGATATGGTAGATGGGGCCCCATTCTGTAACTCCTGTAAAAGGTAGACATGGTAGATGGGGCCCCATTCTGTAACTCGTGTATATCAAGGTAGACATGGTAGATGGGGTCCCATTCTGTAACTCCTGTATAACAAGGTAGACATGGTAGATGGGGCCCCATTCTGTAACTCCTGTATAACAAGGTAGACATGGTAGATGGGGCCCCATTCTGTAACTCCTGTATAACAAGGTAGACATGGTAGATGGGGTCCCATTCTGTAACTCCTGTATATCAAGGTAGACATGGTAGATGGGGTCCCATTCTGTAACTCCTGTATAACAAGGTAGACATGGTAGATGGGGCCCCATTCTGTAACTCCTGTATAACAAGGTAGACATGGTAGATGGGGCCCCATTCTGTAACTCCTGTATAACAAGGTAGACATGGTAGATGGGGTCCCATTCTGTAACTCCTGTATATCAAGGTAGACATGGTAGATGGGGTCCCATTCTGTAACTCCTGTATAACAAGGTAGACATGGTAGATGGGGCCCCATTCTGTAACTCCTGTATAACAAGGTAGACATGGTAGATGGGGTCCCATTCTGTAACTCCTGTATAACAAGGTAGACATGGTAGATGGGGCCCCATTCTGTAACTCCTCTACATCAAGGTAGACATGGTAGATGGGGCCCCATTCTGTAACTCCTGTATAACAAGGTAGACATGGTAGATGGGGCCCCATTCTGTAACTCCTGTATAAGGTAGACATGGTAGATGGGGTCCCATTCTTCACCTCCTCTGTGTCAAACATGGTAGATAGAAAGGTAGGGACATTGTATAGATATGCCTCAGTAAGAAGGAATTCATACATTTCTTTTGAAGTTCTTTTCAGCATACAGAAATACTTTTAGCTCACCTGGTGATTGAGCCAACGGCACATTGCCTGTCTATCCACCTTGACATCTCCTCTGAAATGACAAAGCCACTCGAGCCGAAACATTTTATGAATGATCGCAGCTACAGTGTCTCAAATTTGCTTACAAACTTCTGATTCAATTTTGAACTTTAAAGGGGCACTGATCTAACGCAATTCCCCGGGACTGGTTGTTGCCTTTGTTATTGTTTTTTCCCTGTGAGTACCCGGATGTATAGCAGAAATCTAGACCAGTTCGTGACCTCTGCTGCGCCATTCATAAGCGCATTAGTCACTTTTATGGGTAGTAATAAGGGCGTATGGTCACATTGATCAACAAAATGAAATACAGTTTTCGAGATAATAAGGAAATGTAGGTATCTTTGTGGGTAGCATCGGTAATGGTGACGAAGTTTTGATAAGTCACTTGCTTGGTAATTTTGCGATTTTCGTTTACACTATTTCGACTTGCAACACAAAGTAAATATTTCACCTGAGCATTGCTTTTTTATATAGTGTGTATATTTTTTTACTGTCAAAATGTGTAACAAATTTATTAAACGCCTAAATATTCAGTTATTTTACAAAGTGACTGAAAAAATTTTCCATCTGTATTATTATGATAACGAATTCCAAACATTTTGATGTTTAATGTCATCACCAAGAGACTGAAAATGTTACGTTGAAAAGTACATTTCTATGTTGTCTGGCTTCTAATCCTACAGAATAATCAGTTGTGATGTTTGTAGGCCCTTTTGATCGTCTTAATCAATCTGGACAGATTATTTAGTCAAAATGACTGAAATATTTACACATTTTATAAATTGCCTGAGAGAATCACATTTTACAAATTGACGGTGATATATACACGCTTACAAAGCATGTGCAAAGGAAAAGACCTGTGAAAACAACGTCTATCGTGCATTGAAGAATTTCCCAACCAAGACATAGAGAAACAAGAACGAATCGGTTCAAATGAAGGAAAACAAAATGCAAATACCATAATTACAACCAACCAAATTTATGTGAATAAATTTTAGGCAGCTTCCTTGTTCGAGGAATGTATCCGTGAATATCCACACAAAAGGAACAATATCCCACTCGTCTGCAGCTGTACAAAGAAACATATTCGATGTCTCTGTAACAATCAAATGTTTTAAAAGATATATATCGTTTCGGGATATTATAACCCGTGTTAGTTTCTCAACTGATCACTTGGATTGTTTCAGGTGTTTCACATAGGTGTCAAGTCTCAAGGGTCGGCTGAGAAAGCCCACGTGACAACTATTTTCATAACGTCCACGGTTCCTAAAAAATCCATTGAGTGATTGATAACAACGATCAACCAGTCAACTTATTATCAGTTAACCCTTTGAACAAAGTATGTTGCTTTTACATCGGCACTTCACGCCATGATATGAGTGTATTCCTTTTGTTTGAGTAAACCTAGACATGTAAACACTCACTTTTGACATTTCCACTGTGCAAGATAACGGTGATTAATCAATCAATGTATTTTCTGTTAATCCTTTGATGACTAGGAACGATCCGTTGATTAACAAAAAAAAGTAAATCAACAGATCATTCACCTCTTGCTGGGCTGCCACGTGCATATTACATAACACACATTTCATCTCACATCTCATAATTACCCCAGACACAATAAATGCCAAATGGGAACTTTTGTCAGGTAATCTAAGTGGTGCTACCACTAATTGTACCTGTAATAAATTCATTAACTGAGCATCAAGTGAATGACGACAAATACACAAGTGTAGGGTTATACGAGAAAACGTGAATGTCAACAAGGGTGTAGTAATCATATTATCGACGCAATCCGAAATCCAAAAATGCTTTCACTGCATGGATACTTTTTTTAGTATTAAACTACAACCATCTAGGGTATTTCCAAATGACGCTTCCGATGAGCTCCGCCGTTCTTTCTGTCTGTTTGTTTAGGCTGAAGAAATTAATTAACATGCGCCCTTTGTCGAAATCTTTATAGATCACAGTTAACCAATCAGTGTTTATGCAAAAATGCGTAAAACAAATATTGCCTCCAGCCTCCAAGTTTATTTAGCTGTCCTTGCAGGCGGTAGCCCAGTCTCTGGTCACGCTCAGTTGCGTTGCGTATCATTCGGGTACTCACGGGGGGAAAAAACAATAACAAAGGCAACAACCAGTCCGGGGAATTGCGTTAGATCAGTGCCCCTTTAAATCTTGACATCATACTTTTTGTCTCTAATGCCGTCATTTCTGCAAAATCATAACAAAATTTGTAATTCAGCAAATATACATGGTATAATGATGTACACAAGACATATAATACATGTATTGCCATACGTTAAATTTTTATCAAGTTATGACCTTTGACCTTCAAGTACCCTCATAGACTTTTAGACATGGTCACCATTATTTTGTATAATTTAGGCAAGTTTCACAGCCTGTCACTCTAATTATTCTCTTATTTATTTGAGTCCAGTTTGATGCAGTGAGCTGAGCTCATCATCTTGGTCTGTCCCTAAGGACTGCCAATTTCCTATATCTTAAATAACTGAAAATATATTCAAATGTATCTTTGTTTCAGGAGCCAACATAGAGACATTTTTCAGCATGGCTTGTAGAGGCTGGTTGTTGGTAGTGGGAATTAGTTGTTTGATCCTTGCTGCCAAGGGGAGTAGTACTTCAGATGTGTTCACGCCAACGTCAATGTCAACGCCAACGCCAACGTCAATGTCAACGCCAACGCCAACATCAACATCAACAACAACATCACCATCACCATCACCATCACCATCACCATCACCAACAACACCAGTAACAGCAACAGCACCAACAACACCAACAACAACACCAACAAAATCACCAGCATCACCAACAACAACACCACCAACAACAACAACAATGCCAACAACAGCAACAGCAACAACAACGCCAACAACAGCAACAACAACATCCTCCAACAGTTCCACAGCAATCAGCTCCACTACCAGTGGTACCACCCTGTCAACAAGTACCAACACAAAAGACTCAACACCGGCATCTATCACCAATAGCACTGAACCCACATCCTCAGAAATTCCAACATCTACAGAAGCATCCTCTGCCACAGCCGAAACTTCTACTCCTTCCTCAACGGTTATCACATCATCATCTGTCACTACAACAGTACAACCTACTACTACTTCATTAGCAGCTACGTCTACATCACCACCCAAGACCATTCTACTTATCAATGAGTTTACCTACAATGGCCTTTTCTCAAATGATACAACCTATGGTGATAACTTTAGTGTAGAAATTAGACGTAAGTATTTTTTCATATATCCAAGCAAACAGTTTTCAAACCATGTATTCACTAGCAATCCTGACATGATATGACCATGGTCACTTTAGCTACAGTCACACGTTAGCGGGTGTATTCTGGTAGTAACTGCGGTTACAGCTCCTGGAATAGAATTAAATATTTCCTAGGCAACTGTTTGCAAACTATTGTATTCACTGACAATGCTGGCCATACTACAGAATTAAAAAAAATTGTTATGTAACCATGGTAACTTTAGCTTCAATCACACTTTAGAGGTTGTTACCTCTTTTACCATGGTTACAGCTCCTGGAATATTAGAAATGAATCACTAAATCTCATGATTGGTGTAATGCCATAATTATTAAGACTATCCTGAGATAAAAAAGAGAAAACACTTCATACAAGTTGAAAATGTTTGCACATTTTGAAAAACACACAAGCCTGCATCTAGAGAAGATAATCTTAATTTAACCAACAAGCAGCATATCCTGGCAGCAAAGGGACACTACTCTGCAGAGCAAGATTTATCTCTTTATACCACTGGGTCACTGGTGACAACGTAACAACATGGTTCCAACATACCTAACTTATGAAATACGAAAAATGAAAAAAATGTGATTCACTGTATTTATCCTGACTCATCATTATAACTTTAAATACATTTTCTTTTATATTCATTGGTGTATTTTATTAATGGTACTACTTTTTGCTTCAAAATAGCAATTTGTGGGTCTGATTTCACTTACACAAAAGGATTTTTGAAACCTAGAATATATCTTTCAGCTCACTGTCACCATAGTTACTTGAGGGGCGGTCGGGTAGCCTAGTGGTTAAAGCGTTCGCTCGTCAGGCCGAAGACCCGGGTTCGATTCCTGACATGGGTACAATGTGTAAAGCCCATTTTTGGTGTCCCCCGCCATGATATTGCTGGAATATTGCGAAAAGCGGCGTAAAACTCACTCACTCATAGTTACTTGATACAATCTTTTGAAGTGTGCAAGAAGCTTGTAGTCATGTTTGTGTCTCTGTCAGGGCTGGAGGGAGACGCTACCCCCAACATGACGGTGGTGGTGTCCGATCTGAAAATGAAGTGTGCTGCTGTGGTCCAGGTAGATTCTGCTGCTTGGAATAACAACCTGGCATTTGAAACAGCACATTTGGTAAGTATTTCATTGTGGATTAGTTGGGTTACCTGATGAATTGTGGATTAGTTGGATAATTTGATGAATTGTAGACTAGTTGGGTTTACCTGTTGAATTTTTAAGAGTTGGGTTACCTGATGAATTTTGGATTAGTTGGGTTACCTTATGAATTTTGACTAGTTGGTTACCTTATGAATTTTGACGAGTTGGTTACCTGATGAATTTTGACGAGTTGGTTACCTGATGAATTTTGACGAGTTGGTTACCTGAAAATTTTTGGATTAGTTGGGTTTACCTGTTGAATTTTTAAGAGTTGGGTTACCTGATGAATTTTGGATTAGTTGGGTTACCTTATGAATTTTGACTAGTTGGGTTGCCCTTATGAATTTTGACGAGTTGGTTACCTGATGAATTTTGACGAGTTGGTTACCTGATGAATTTTGACGAGTTGGTTACCTGAAAATTTTTGGATTAGTTGGATTATCTGATGAATTGTTGACTACTTGAATTGTCTGAATCGTGGGCTTGTTGGATTATCTGTTGAATTGTGGATCAGTTGGATTATCTGATGAATTGTAGATTAGTTTGATTATATGTTGAATTTTTAATTAGTTGGGTTACCTGATGAATTTTGGATCAGTTGGATTATCTGATGAATTGTAGACTAGTTGGATTATCTGTTGGATTATCTGTTGAATTGTTGATCAGTTGGATTATCTGATGAACTGTAGATTAGTAGCATTATATGTTGAATTTTGAACAAGTTGGGTTACCTGATGCATTTTGGATTAGTTGGATTATCTGATGAATTGTTGGCTCCTTGGATTGTCTGAATTGTGGGCTTGTTGGATTATCTGTTGAATTGTAGATTAGTTTGATCATCTGATGAATTATCTGTTGAATTGTGGACAACTAGATTATCTGTTGAATTTTGGATGAGTTGGATTTTCTGATGAATTTTGGATTAGTTGGATTATCAGATGAATTGTGGACTAGTTAGATTATCTGTTGAATTGTGGGATGTTTTTATTATCTGTTAAATTTGGATTAGTTGGATTATCTGATGGATTGTGGAATAGTTGGATTAGGTGATGAAAGGTGGGCTAGTTGGATTATCTTGTGGAATGTAGATTAGTTGGATTATATGTTGAATTTTTAATTAGTTGGGTTACCTGATGAATTTCAGATCAGTTGGATTATCTGATGAATTGTGGACTAGTTGGATTATCAGATGAATTGTGGACTAGTTAGATTATCTGTTGAATTGTGCGATGTTTTAATTATCTGTTGAATTTTGGATTAGTTGGATTTTCTGATGAATTGAGGTTGCGGTCGGGTAGCCTAGTGGTTAAAGCGTTCGCTCGCCACACAGAAGATCCGGGTTCAATTTCCGACATGGATACAATGTGTGAAGCCCATTTCTGGTGTCCCCCGCCGTGATATTGCTAGAATATTGCTAAAAGCGGCGTAAAACCCTACTCACACACTCACTCACTCACTCATTCACTGATAAATTGTGGACTAGAAGTTGGAATATGTGATGAATGTTGGGCTTGTTGGATTATCTGTTGAATTGTGGGATGTTTTTATTATCTGTTAAATTTGGATTAGTTGGATTATCTGATGGATTGTGGAATAGTTGGATTGGGTGATGAAAGGTGGGCTAGTTGGATTATCTTGTGGAATGTGGATTAGTTGGAATGTCTGATGAATAGTAGGCTGATGAATTATGGACTAGTTGGATTATCTCTTTGGCATTTATCCTGCGATATTGTGATCAAAGTTTACTTTTTAGACACCAGCAAACAGAAGAGCGGTGATTGTGTCCCTCTACACTTCTGTTAATTGGACAAACTGTACTGATGTAAACATGACAGGTGTTGATCTACTAGATGCTACCATTGTCAGTCAAGACCTGGTCAACACAACGACGACCAGCATACAATTTGTTCCTGATTATTTGTCAAGAATACTCGTCGCTCAAGTCAACAGAAGGTATGTTCATGTATTTATTGAAGTTGTAAAAACAGTGATAACTCAAATACCTGATATAAACTAATGGTGATTCTGGGCAAGAGGTCCTGCTGGTATCTGTGATTCGGGGCAAGAGGTCCCCTGTACCCAGTGCTTGGTGTAATCCTGCTGGTGTCTGTTCTAATGTTGAAACTCTATGGTGATTCTATGGTGATTCCGGGCAAGAGGTCCCCTGTACCCAGAGCTTGGTGTAATCCTGCTGGTGTCTGTTCTAATGTTGAAACTCTATGGTGATTCTATGGTGATTCTGGGCAAGAGGTCCCCTGTACCCACTGCTTGGTGTGATCCTGCTAGTGTCTGTTCTAATGTTGAAACTCTATGGTGATTCTATGGTGATTCCGGGCAAGAGGTCCCCTGTACCCACTGCTTGGTGTAATCCTGCTGGTGTCTGTTCTAATGTTGAAACTCTATGGTGATTCTATGGTGATTCTGGGCAAGAGGTCCCCTGTACCCAGTGCTTGGTGTAATCCTGCTGGTGTCTGTTCTAATGTTGAAACTCTATGGTGATTCTATGGTGATTCCGGGCAAGAGGTCCCCTGTACCCACTGCTTGGTGTAATCCTGCTAGTGTCTGTTCTAATGTTGAAACTCTATGGTGATTCTATGGTGATTCCGGGCAAGAGGTCCCCTGTACCCAGTGCTTGGTGTGATCCTGCTGGTGTCTGTTCTAATGTTGAAACTCTATATTGATTCTATGGTGATTCCGGGCAAGAGGTCCCCTGTACCCAGTGCTTGGTGTGATCCTTCTGGTGTCCGTTCTAATGTTGAAACTCTATGGTGATTCTATGGTGATTCTGGGCAAGAGGTCCCCTGTACCCAGTGCTTGGTGTAATCCTGCTGGTGTCTGTTCTAATGTTGAAACTCTATGGTGATTCTATGGTGATTCCGGGCAAGAGGTCCCCTGTACCCAGTGCTTGGTGTGATCCTGCTGGTGTCTGTTCTAATGTTGAAACTCTATGGTGATTCTATGGTGATTCCGGGCAAGAGGTCCCCTGTACCCAGTGCTTGGTGTGATCCTGCTGGTGTCTGTTCTAATGTTGAAACTCTATGGTGATTCTATGGTGATTCTGGGCAAGGGGCTCCTGTACCCAGTGCTTGGTGTAATCCTGCTGGTGTCTGTTCTAATGTTGAAACTCTATGGTGATTCTATGGTGATTCCGGGCAAGAGGTCCCCTGTACCCAGAGCTTAGTGTACTCCTGTTGGTGTCTGTTCTAATGTTGAAACTCTATTAATAAACCAAGGAACAACAGGTATTTTGTGTATTTTTGTAAACTGTCTACCATCTTTGTAATTCTGGAGATCACAGATGTATTTATAGGAACATTTGAATTTTCAGTATCCCACAGGGAGCCAACTTATCAGTTGTTCGTTGTGACCACACACGACTGGACCCTGGTTCCTTCATAATAGCGCCCTCCACATTCAACCACAACAACTCATGTGACCTTAACCAAAATGTTACACTCAAAACGATCACCTTGAACTACACCTGTGACCAATGGAAGGATGAAAATACCACGAAGCTGATCAATTACTTTGTGAAGGAAGTTGGTTGGAGATGTCAGTGTGGCTTCTCCCCAGTCTATATACGGAATGGTGAGTGGTTTAGTTGATTGTCACCCTTTGTTGACCAACCGTTTCCGGGGACTAGTGGATAGAGTGTCTGCCCCGGCCGTGTCATACCAAAAGATGTGAAAAGATGGTACTTGTTACCTTGCCTGGAGTTCTGCATTAAAGGGATAAAGCAAGAACAGGTCAGCTCATAGTCAGTATATTGGGTCTGAGTGGACATGTTAAACTGTGGCATTGTATTTCAATGGGCTAGCATTATAAAACCGGCATTAGTACAGACTAGGACAGACAGACCCACACATGCAAACTAATTTAAGGTCCTGTAAGTGGTAAAACGATTTGCATCACTTAGGGCTTTCCTCCCACATTAAACTGACACGCCATGATATAACTGGAACAATGTTAAAAGCGGGGTTAAACCCAAATCACTCACTCACTCCCGTAGGCCCTGTTCAGATCTACGACTATCATAAGTTGATGTTGAAGTATGAGCTACGATTGTGGAACGGGGCCCTGAACCTACAACAAACAACACATGTGAAAATATACATGACAATGGGGACCTTATAGTAGGTCTCTGACATCTGAACATTATTCTTATTTTTTATAGGTGTACCTAGCTTTGTGTACCTTTGTCTCATTCAGTTCAGCTCTTGAAATCCTGTGTGACTCAAAATCTTCATGGGGGGTCGGGTAGCCTGGTGGTTAAAGCGTTCGCTCGTCACGCCGAGGACCCGGGTTCGATTCCCGACATGGGTACAATGTGTGAAGCCCATTTCTGGTGTCCCCTGTCGTGATATTGCTGGAATATTGCTAAAAGCCGCGTAAAACCATACTCGCTCACTCACTCACTTATAATCTTCATAACAGATATAGATCAGATCTAGCTTACAACAAGCACACATAGATATAGACACTGACTAGACATTAACAAGCTGTAGATTTGATGAGTGAGTGAGTGAGTGGGGTTGGATACTATCTCGTACAATATTTCATCAATAACACACCTTAATATGTGAAGGAAGTGATGCGTATGGTAATTTGCCACTTTGGCAAAACCCATGAGCATGGGTATACTGTGCACAGACCAAGGATCGTAATCGGTGATTTGAACCGATGAACAGATCCTAATGTGGCAAAGGGATGCAACTCTGCACAGAGAATTGTGACAGTTAAGACAGAGTAGACATATGCTAAGCATGGTCTAGATGCCTGGGATATATTTACTGAAAGCTTTGACAGTGCAGACATAGACCTTACGGTCATGTACACAACTGCAGGTGTATGGCCATAGTGGATAATGGAGGTTAACATAACATAATAATGAACATTATATTTAGCGAGCCTTGGCCAAATCAAATGTTTTTAGAAGACCCAGAGGTCTACAAACACAGGTATTGAAACCAATTTACCTACCTTACTTGCTAAATTCTTCGTATAAGTCTCCATTGTTGCCTACATTTGTGAAATTTTAGATGCTGATTTTCAGTATCTTAGACTATTATTTTGATCATCAAAATATACAAATTATCATCATAATTTATCTAGAAAATTTAAGGGGGTTGCCATGTTTCTTTGTAGACACCGAAAGTAGTACCTACCTGACCTCTTTTTTTTCATAATTATCCATAACGACCCCAACAGATACCGTTTTTATCTGCTGGCTTCATCCTGCCTGGAAACGTGATTAATTAAGTCAATTTTATTATTTACCATTTTACCCTGTTTTATCTTCAAGCTACAGGGAACTGCACACAGACTACTACCACCACTATAAGTTGGTCCATCCCCGAGAGGTTTGAGTCTGTGTACGACAATGTTGTCAATGCTACAGACTGCATAGAGAACGAAACATCCGAAAAGCTGTGTCTTGCTCGCACATGTCACAACTGCAACAACTCCAAAAAGGTCGACCCTCAGCACAAGGGTAAGTCAGTGCCAGTAGAACCTGTATGAGGACTAATGCAGATCGTTTTTCACACACAAGTGAAATCATATACCGTATTCGACGTAATAAGCGCCCCGCTCTAATAAGCACCCACGGCGATATTTGCTAATACATGTATATTGGTAAGTGAACAATCCCAATTGGCACCCCTTCCGATTGATCAAAGTACACAAGACTTATTTATTCGTGTATAATACGCACTCGTGTGTTATATGCACCCTTAATAATGGGCAATTAAATTCTGGAAAAATATATCTGTCGTACATAAACAGTTCAGGCCGTCAGCATAAACCACAAAATTTATCTTTCAACTCTGTTTTTTCCACCACATTAATATTCTAATAAGAGCCCCCTATTCCTAATTTTGAGAGAGCCCTGGGTGCTTATGACGTCGAATACGGTACTTATTTTTATACGAAAGTATGGCTTTAATTGCTGTTACCATGGTTACATGATGTCAGTTGCCATGTAAACCTTCTCCCTTGTGTAAGTTATCAGTTATTCATTTAGGGATGGAGAGGAGCATGCAACTGTCACATGACTGACTCTATGAGAAGTATCTGGAGAGGTAATTACTGTAAACATAGTAAACATGTTTACATTATTTATATGATTTTGATATACCATAAACCTAGTGGTTAAATCGTGTGCTCGTCTCGCCAATGACATCTTCCCGCGGCAAGGGAGTTAACTGACTATAAAAGTCCAGTTTCCACCCTTGCCGAACTAGGCTGGTATTATGGAGTTAAATTTTGGCTGGACTAACGAGTCTATGCATAGTCCAATCAAAATCACGCACCGAAATCGAAATCCGGTTCATAAACTTTCATGCAGATTTCGGTCGATTGTAGGGTTTGCAAAGCATGTGCACCCCCAACTTGTTGTCAACAGACATTTTCCAAATCTTTTCAAGTTTTTAATCAAGGTGCTCACGTCATTTGATGCCTTTTTCGATGTAAGACCCGTTTTCTCACAATATATATCTTGATTGTCGATCAGATCATCTTGACTGGGCGCCGCCATTTTGTTTGAAGCAAATGTAAGTGATACGAGAGGTGGAATCTGATTGGTCCATAGGAGAGGCATAGAGGGGACTTAACTCGTAATAGCCACTGGTGGCGCTATGATCGAGCCCAGGAATTCCAGCCTAGTTCGGCAAGGGTGGAAACTGGACTTTTAAAGTCAGTTAACTCTCTTGCCTCGGGAAGATGCGCCAGTGCAGGCCATGGTTCGATTCCCCACATGAGTACAATGTGTGAAACCCATTTCTAGTATTCCCTTCTGTGATGTTGCTGGAATATTGCTAAGAGCAGCATAAAACCATACTCATTCACTCACTCAATTTGGCAGGGAGTGTCGTGTACCAAATAGCCAAGTATTTAGATATGCTTCTCGGAATAGCTTGAATATGTCTTATTCCCTTCATGGTTTAAAAAAATGTTCTTGCAGGTAACATAAGTGTGACAGTCGGCGTTGTGATTGCCTGCATTGTTGTTTTCCTCATCATTGTTGCCATAGTGATCCTGTACATCCGCAAGAAGCGCCGAGGAATATTGTAAGTTGATATTATTTTTATACAGGTTGTAAGCAGTAGACATGATAGATAATCAAAGTTTTATATCATAATATGATTATTGGAGTGTAATTTCCATCTTTTTTTCTAGATTCTTCGCAATATTAGGGAATTATTGGATGTAGCACTGATTAATGTCTGTTTTCTCTACAGTATGTGGCAACTATCGACATCGGGTGGTCAGGGTTGATGCATGTCATCGTAGACCAATTGCATAGATCGATTCACATATCAAACACTGAATTCTCTCATCCAGACTCGATTATTTACAGACCGCTGTCATATAGCTGAAATATTGCTGAATGCGGCGTAAAACAACCAAACAACAAACAAACAGTTTTTTTGTTAATCATTATACCCCGTAGTATAACACGAAGATGAAAAAGACCATTTATGATATCCTCTGTTCCAGGCAATTCCGTATGACTAGATTAGACGAGGATGACGATGACCTGATGATGTCTAACGACACGGATGACTTTGTAGGTGGTCAGGAAGCTAGTTTCAGCAACTCCAGCTACACACGCTTCAAGTAGTAACCACAAATCTCACGGAGTATGTCCTGGAACACTGCCTTGGTCATGTCCAATCAAGGGAGATAACTGGAATGACACAATGTGGAATTGTGAACCATAGAGTTACAATCTCACTTGTATTTATCAATCAATCAATGTATGAATGTCTTGCCTTGACATTTTGTAATGTTGTATTTTGGTTGTATCCGAATCATTGTCTAAACAAATTTTTGTTATACAGAATGTATATGTTTAGCATATTCAGGGAATATGTTGATATTTCATAGGTGTTGTGATAATTCTCATCATGCCGTTGTCGCACGATAGAACAATACTACTTAAAATGGTGATTAACATCTAAATTGTAGAACGTTTTAGTCAGTTTCTCTGTTCACAAACCAATACTACTTAAAACTGTGATTAACATCTAAGTTGTAAAACGTTTTAGTCAGTTTCTCTCATTCTCACAAAAACAATACTACTTAAAACTGTGAACATTTAGATTGTAGAACAGTTTCTCAGTTTAGAGGTTTTGATAGTAATGTCCTTGTTTTTAAACCTGGAACTATGTGAGCTGGTTGTGTACGCAGCGATTACTGCACACAGGCAGCTGATTCTGTAGAGCATAGCATGCCTTGGGGCAAATGTTTCACCCAGTCAGCATGCTGATCATAAATTCTAAGATCTCTAATGCTCAAGAAAGATTTTGATTGGGTAGTAGAGCTTCTCTGCAACATATCTGATGATTTGTTGATGATTCTTGAGTCTCACCTGCCTAATAGATGCTGGGTGTTTGGGGATTTTAAGAGACAAGGTCTGTAGGAACAAATGCCACAGGTCCTCCGTCCATCAGGTCATCTGTGTGATCATCAATATCAGGGTGTTTTCTATTCTAAAGGTTCTTTGGGATATAAAACATTTTGTATGGTAAAATAATGATCTGGTAGTATTGTATTTCTTGATGTTTAAAACATTTCCTGGAGAATACAGTTTGTCATGTTCATGGCTCCTCCGTCGTCACTTACACTTTTGGCAGGTTGTAAATTTTGTTTTCATTTAATTTTATTTTATTGAAACTTTAACAAGCTACTGAAGGAAAGTGTTTTGGACAGGACGTGATATTTGCTGCTGGAGGAAGTACATTCAGTCATATCTCAGAGTGATGGACCAAGAGGTTGTATGTGCAATACATATGACTTTATCTTATCCTGACTCATACACACGAGAATAAGAATGAGTCAGGATAAGTATAAATTATATTTTACTCTAAAAAATACATATTTTATCTCATCCTGACTCACACTTATACTCGTGTGTACGAGTCAGGATAAGTATAAATGATATTTTTACTCTTAAAAAAACCCATTTTGTAATAAAATAACATTACTCTATTATTTTATAAATTATAATATTTCTGGTCAGCGTTCTTCCAAGGTACATATTAGGCATGTTGAACGAGGGGAAACTAGATGTTTTACACTGACATTTTTATATGTACTCAAACTCATTAAAACAGATCTTAGCGCTCTCTGAAACTACTAAAATACTTGGGCACTAAGATCTGATTTTAATGACATTGCACATGTGCTTCAGTAGTCATGGTACTTGAAATGATAAACTGTATCAGAAAGGAGAAAGATTTACAGTAATTTTTGACTGCCATACAGTGTGATCTCATGAGTCTTGAGAAAACTTCCATGTATCATATCGTCATGGTTATTGCTCCATAATGTGTATGGTTGAATTTCAATACTGTCCTATGCTCTAAGATGGCTATGACAACTAGGTGGTTTTTAGAGGTGTAACGATATGGTGGGGTCTTTGACAAGTTGATAGTTTTGTCTTATTGCAAGTGAATCACAACCCTGTTATTAAATTTCAGAGGTCAAAGATGGGATATTGTAGGGCTGAAACATATTGGTATGGGGCACTGGGAATGTTACGCTATGTATGTCCAACCATGAAGTACGAGAGAATCTGCTTAAGCTGGTGGCTGATAAGTTTTTGTTATTACAGTGTTTCCTCGTTATTCGACCCTTCAATATAGCGCTAACTCGGTTATAGCGCGCAGTAAAGCATGGCTCCATAATTTACTAACATTTTTAATAAACTCATAGATCGTGTTAGGTAGGCAGAGCATGTATACTGTTTTGTTGGTCATCTACCACATACGACTCAAGCTTCGTTAAACCAGCTGATCATCTATAACGCTCATCAATTATTTGGACCCCGAAGGTAGCGTGGTAGCAAGGGATCACGGCATTCACATGATTTACACTAATATGACTTGTAATAAACTGCATTGTATGTGTTGCAATACAGGGCTCGTAAATCAATGTATTGTATCATGGCGCAGGGGCACGGGTGGCCTAGTTGTCTAAGGCGCTGCGATTCACTGTGCAGAGTTGCGTCCCTTGGGCACGCCAGAAAGCTATGATTGTGGGTTCGAATCCCGGTTTGCCCCGATTATGTTTCTAGGTTTGTCAGCACCATACCCGTGCTCGTGGCTTTCAGCGAAGTGGTAAACGTCTGAGACCTGCATCACTTCGGGCTTTCATCCCACATCAAGCTGACACGCTGTGATATAACTGGAATAATGTTAAACCCAACTCACTCACTATCATGGCGCTCGTATCACAATACAAAACTGTGTCACCATATCGTTACACCACTAGTGTTTTTGAGGCTTGTTTCAACATTGTATTACAAATTTACACCTGATACAGGACATGACACACCAACCGAAGTGTCGATTCTTTTTAAATTGTTTATTTTTAAAAATTAGTATTTATGAAGTTTGTGTTAACACGAACTGATAGTTTCTTGGGCTAGAGTTACGTTTATGTCTATCATTAACAAAATTATCATGCTGATTTCATAATGCTTTAAGAACAAGCTAAGCTTCACCAGTCAGGTGAGTTAAAACAAATTTGTTGAAAGCAACAAACAACCCCTTGTCAGCTGAGCCAAAACGGCACAAATTAAATTGGACAGTACGTATCATGACTCTAGTATTGATTCAGGAGGTAGGTTATCGTTGATGCCTCCAAATTGTAGGAGGGCTATTTGTTGATGAAAAGTGTCTACTGAAAACACTAAGGCAATATTGGTTGTATATACTGTTTTGTAGAGTCCTGATTATGGATGTATATAGGCTATTGTGATGTAAATAATATTGTCAGTGAGAGTAGATTACCGTCATTTTATGTTTATTCTAATTGGTTTTTTTCTGTTTATGAAAAATTATAAATTGACATCAGTAATAACTCCTTATTGCTGAAGCGCTGCTTAAATTGGAAGCAGCAAGTTTTTTAAAACTAGTTATTGATAGATCTCTTGGCGGATCCAGCATTTTTAAATGGAGGGGTCCAAAATATCCTCTCTCAGATATATTTACTGCCTACAACATACAACACTTGGTTTTCAAAAGGGGGGGTCCGGACTCAATTGACCTCTCCTCTGGATCTGCCTATGGATCTTGTATACATGCTACAGCTGATCAGTACTTATATTTTATGTAAAATGCTCCGATAATATCATCAATATATTTTCTCCTTTTTTTTCTCTCTCTTTTTTTATATTTGCTTAATTTGAGTTTCAACATTTCATTTAACTCTACATATCTTTATGAATTGGTGGAATTAGCTGTTCATTTGCTTAAACATTTGTGTTCCACTGGTATTTACGTTCTTATTATTTGAAGCTTATGGGGGCCCAGTCAAAGGCGCCACAATTTACTGTGCAGAATTTTGTCCCTTAGTGGAATAGAGATCCTTTTATCATGTGTTCAAATCCCAGAATTGCTCAGATTATGGTTCCAGGTTATGTTTAGCACCATATCCATGCTTGTGGGTTTCACCAAAAGTGGTGAAGTGTAAGACCTGCATCTCTTACACTTTACTCCTCGCTGTGATGTGAAATAATGTTCAAAGCATCATAATGTACTCACTCACTCACTCACTCACTCATTCACTCACGAAAAGTTAAAAGCTCTTTGCAATTTTTGTCATTATTGTAAGTAATATTCCTGACCGGCGGAATGGCTTGTTGTCACTCACTAAGTATTAGCACTCATACAGCAATCTTCATTAATTAATCATCGTGATATTTCGTGATTCTATTTCAAGTTGCGAGGACTATAGCTACTGTTTCATCTGGAGGTCGATTTCCATAATGTAGCAAGGATCAATGCAATATTATTATTAACGACCACAGAAAATGTGTACAGTTTGTATTCTGTTGGTAAATCTGTCCCTGAAGTGGAGTAAGGAGTTCTATCAGACACGAAATATGTCTTCAGTCTTTGTTTCAAAACATATGATTTTGTTTTCTCTGAAAGGAGAAGCTACACAATTTGAATCTGTTTTCCAACAATTTTTTTTTTCAGGACGTCCAGCCATCCTCTATCTCCGGGGCCTGTGTTTCGGAAAACTCACACTAAAACCTGGATCCATTCCCTTGGTTCTCGCAATCTCAGATTACCCGCCCTTGATTTTCATTAACATTTACAGACTTATCAAATGTTGAGGTGAGGAAAAAGGAAATGCCATCACCAATTTCAATGGACATGAAGACATCCTTTCAATCAATATTTTTCGGGGCTTTTTTTTTGCTTGTCAGTCTGTTTTTCAATGTTGAATTTTTTGCAAACTCTATCATAATCGATTGGACTGGCAACCATGTTGTTCATATCGCCAAGCAAACATTAAGGCTGGTCTGTAAATCTCATTCTGATTGGTCAGTTAGACTGAGTCGTGTAGCAGATCAAACTGGCTGATGAAAATCAGGGGCGGGTAATTTGAGGTAGCGAGAATCACAGGGATGGGTCCAGGGGTTAGTATAGGTTTACTGAAATGCGAGCCCTGGAGATATAGAGGATGGACATCAAGCATATCTCGTGCATGTGTCCAGTTTTACAGTAACCAAACATTTGTTGAAATACCCTTTTCAATATATTATTTACTTTTTACATATTAAACACAAAACACTTAATCAAGTTTTATGCATTGCAATCACAGATACTGCAAGCTGTTTAAATGAAGAGAATTTCTGTCATGATATAACAGACTATTGCACTCACCCACTCACTCACCCACTGTAATCAAGTATGTTTTCTCTCCAGGAGATTATTCTTTCTTCAATGTATTATATTGAATACCCAAATGTTTGATTCCTGTGTATAAACAGTGCCTGCCATGTTTAAAAGAGAAGTATGTGAGTTGTGGAGCTGTGAGCAAGCTCTCACAAGTTATCCTGTACATATTAATGGTTTTCAATAAGTATTTAGCTGTTCATGATGTGATACTGTTGTTCATTCCATTGTTTAATTGTCATGATTCATGGAGTTGAGGATGTGACCAAATGTGCTATGTTGTTTTACTCTTCTTGAGTGTGCTGAGTTACCACTGAATAATTGATCAGTTGTGGTACTTATAATATCTTATGCTGTCAGATTACTGGTTTTTATTGTAGAGCAGTTCAGAATTACAAACTTAATTTGATATTTTTACATAATTTATGGGAACATAATATATTCCAGCCATTCGTGACCAACTCGTGTTATTCCGTGACAAGCCGAATAGTGACTCGTGCCCCTCTCATGGCCATTTTTGCGACCGGGTTCCGTCTTAACGCAAACGGGCCTACCTAAAACAATTGTCAACTCGTTGCGTAATGGTTTACATATATTTCCCCATATATTATAAATATTTCAGATGCAATTTAAAGCACATCGGAACATGTGGAATACCGGTAATACAGTATGATTGAACAAATTTAACTGTGTCTTGGGTATATGTTTTGATGGAAGACATATGTAAAATCACAAATTATTTCTGAGGGATTCTTTGATGAAGAACTTGAAATCTTAAGTGCATTCTGATTGGTTTGTTGTATTTACAAGCATAACATTCATTGATAGGGGGACGAGTCTTCTTGCAGGTTACGGAAAGGGGCGAGTGGTGATGATTGATATTCCAGCTTGTGTTCATCATTGCCATGGTTACAGTGCTAATTGCCAGGCTTCTGTTCCATCCCAGGATTTCATCACATCCAGCTCATTTTGCTGTTTCAGTAATATTAAGTGTGCATGGGTGCTCCAACTCAGTCTGCAGAGTTCTCTCCCCTTTGCTATGTCAGGATTCGTTGAACATTAATGTCTACTACCAGGTCACTTTTGGCTTTCTCCCCATGTTAGTATGAAATATACCGTAATATGACTTATATCCGAAGTGTCCTCAAATCCTGAGCTTCTTGAGCAGTGTACTATGAACCTGTACCATGGTACATTACGACCCTGTACTTGACTGCCTATCACAATGGAATGCACCCTGGAATTACAATGTCTCGTGTGAAACGACCATTTCGGCAAATAAAGACTTTCACTTCATCCTTCCTTATCCACAACTACTAAGTAGATTTGGAGCAATTATTACCTTATAGCAACAACATTTTTGTCAATTGCTTTGATTTTCGATACTGTATGTCATTCTTTACCATGCCATTAAACGAAGCATCATTAGAGACTGAAAGCTGTTGAGTTTGAAGAGAGGGTACATCTGACGCAGTTTGAGGTGCTAGGTTCTGAGAGAGCATGGTACATAGTAATGTGCCTTTATGTACCATTGATACATATCAGTTGTATCCTTGTCAAGAACGACCCTATCAGTGGAAGTTGGTACATAGTGATGTGCCTTTATGTACCTTTGCTACGTATCAGTTGTACCCTTGTCAAGAACGACCCTATCAGTGGAAGTTGGTACATAGTAATGTCTTTATGTACCATTGATACATATCAGTTGTATCCTTGTCAAGAACGACCCTATCAGTGGAAGTTGGTACATAGTGATGTCTTTATGTACCATTGATACATATCAGTTGTATCCTTGTCAAGAGCGACCCTATCAGTGGAAGTTGGTACATAGTGATGTCTTTATGTACCATTGATACATATCAGTTGTACCCTTGTCAAGAACGACCCTATCAGTGGAAGTTGGTACATAGTAATGTCTTTATGTACCATTGATACATATCAGTTGTATCCTTGTCAAGAACGACCCTATCAGTGGAAGTTGGTACATAGTGATGTCTTTATGTACCATTGATACATATCAGTTGTATCCTTGTCAAGAGCGACCCTATCAGTGGAAGTTGGTACATAGTGATGTCTTTATGTACCATTGGTACATATCAGTTGTACCCTTGTCAAGAACGACCCTATCAGTGGAAGTTGGTTCATAGTAATGTCTTTATGTACCATTGGAACATATCAGTTGTACCCTTGTCAAGAACGACCCTATCAGTGGAAGTTGGTTCATAGTAATGTCTTTATGTACCATTGGAACATATCAGTTGTATCCTTGTCAAGAACGACCCTATCAGTGGAAGTTGGTACATAGTGTTGTCTTTATGTACCATTGGTACATATCAGTTGTATCCTTGTCAAGAACGACACTATC